GATTATTTGATATAGACAAAAAATAATTTATACAAATCGAATTATTTAAAAAAGTATCACAATATTGAATATTTGGTGCTCATTTCTTTTATTTTTGAGGAACAACAAGTAACGATCAGATATAATTTTTACATCTCAAATTTTTTTTGCGTAGTTCAAAAGAGGTTAAAATATCGATCGATTTCATTTATTTTATGTCTCAAAGAAAGAGGATCAATCATTAAAATAGATGACCATTTAGATTTTTTTATTCGCCGTTTTTGCTAATTTAAAAAGATCATTTAAATACATGCCCTTAAAATATTCAATGTTTCTCAAAACACAGTCTTTCACTTTGGTTCTCCTACGGATCTACTCATTTCTGATTCGATCACGCAGGGAAACCGAGCATAGCATGCTTCATCGCCCTTTGGGTGACCTTGAGCCTTCTTATTATAAGGCGATAGTAAGCGACCACGTCTCAGATCCGTATGTCATCACTGGCATATGACATACTGATCAAAGTCCCCCACTAGGTGGACTGATGATATGGTGAGGGAGATGACTGGATGCGGCCGGCACAGGACCGGTCGTTGTGTAAATCTTTGGGGAAGGCCTTTGTCCTGCAGTGGACGTCATTTGGCTGAAACGATCGAACAAACAGGTCTTTCAGGAAATGAGCCCTCACACACAACCCGCAATAGCGAATTCTATGCGTCATTTCCCTTGGCATTTGTCTTAATTTTACGTGTCACTGGCTAGAGGTTACGTATGAGTCGTTGGACTAACTGTTGTGTTTTTATTATGGAGGAATTATTAAGCAATAACATTGTCAACACTAATAAGTATATTGTAAAGGCTACAATTTGCTTTATGCGAATTTCGTAAAGTGAAATGAGCCAGCATATTGAGGATTTTTCCTACGAACAAAATTGCGAAAGTCTATTGACGAATTATACTTAAACAAACTGTTTTTGCCTAAACGAAAAAAGGACCCGACTTCATTGAATAAAATGAATAGGTATTATCTAAAGGGGGACAAAGAGAAATGAAAAAATAAATTACCTATCACCTGAACTCGATTATAAGAATCGATTCTGATCAAACGCGCCGATCCATCACGGCCGAGCAAACAATCGGGTAGCTGTCTTTATATCTTTCCTCCTATGTAAGTACCCTCATTTATTATGGCTTTGTTGAAATGAAACTAGTTAATCTATTTAGACAATATTGCAAACAATCTATTAGTTTATTAGCCAACGATTTCTATAATACCATCAAACTCACAAGCGGTTTTTTTTACTTTTCATAACTTTCGCATTTATTATTATGAAGGAATATTAAATCTATCTATCTATCTATATAAATAAAAATAAATTGATGTTCGTTAGTCTGATTAAAACTCGAGAACGGCTGGGCCGATTGAGCTGATTTTGGTTTTCAAATGTTTGTCGTAGTCCAGGGTAGGTCTAAACGGTGAGCAAATACGCGCGCGATATTGTTTTTCTGTGACAGACAAAATTCCACGCGGGCGAAGCCGCGGGCGGATGCTAGTATTAAATAAATAAATAAATATCCTTGGACATTTTACACTGCGCCTCTAGTTAGTCCCAAACTAACTAATTACATCTTATAGTTTAAGTTCTACAACATACAACTTTAGCCTCCAAGTAAAAGACCTATGCAATTTTACTAACGTGGGGTACTTACCTAAACGTGCTGTTAAAAAGCGTTCTGTTATTATGATACCCATAGTTTGTGGCATTAATATGGCATTATACTACCTAGATCTATCTCAGTGACGGCAGTGTAACCACGTACGGTTTGTCATGTACAGAGATGAGCAACAATATCTAGCTACATAACATGGCAGAAGCGTCGAAATAACGAAAACAAATCGACAACGAACCAAAGCTAAATTGCAAAAGGCACCGGACACCATAGCTTAATATAAATATCGTCAATTCCCCCCACATTCAATTTGTGGGAATATAAAAACGAGCAATTAGCACCTCTGACCGCGCCGTAAAAGGGAGCGTAAATCAAAACTCGAGTTTTCGCGGAATCGTTTCGCCGCTCTTTATGACTCTTTTAATATGTTATCAGCCGTGGTTTATGTACTTTTACGTATTTCGATACGAAATTTGAAATGAGATAAGATGAGACTTTTTATTGATTTCTTTAACGGCGCTACGACGAATAGTGTTTAATAGGTATTTCTTGGCTGATTAGTACTAGACTATAGAAAAGTTTCTTACTTATCCCTTCAAGCCAAGCATATCGCGACACAATAGAAATCAATTGTTACGCGGTCCTAAGCGATCGCTTGGAGTTTGATAAGCTAACTATGGACTTTTTCCCCCCACTGTAAGCGCAGACCACCGATTTTTCGTCGGCCGAGAGTTTAGTCGGGCAGTTAATCAGTATGAACCTGTATGGAAGTGCGCAAGGTGGACCGACGACATCATAAAGGTAGCAGGAAGGCACTGGGTGCAGGCCGCTACCAACCGGGCAACATAGAAAGCATTGGGGGAGGCCTAATATGTTACCTATGTTCAGCAGTGGAGGTCCTATGGCTGAGATGATGATTATGAGTTACTTACCTATTATTTTAGACTGTTGCCCCATCCTGAGCACAAAGCTGGCTACGCTCATGCGCACATATTATTACGCTGATTTGATTTTCATACAAATTGAAATCGAGCGCAACTATCGTCCAACTAAAAGTCGCGCCTAGGCTAACACCTGCATAGTGAGAGTCTAAAACTTGGCCTCCGATGAAAACCAACCACTAGTGAATATCTAAATTTGCTCTCTAGGTAGTTTTCTAAGCCTCGCTGTTCCGAGTTCTAACTGCGCCTAATGCAAGCCGCTATTTGTATTTATTAAATAGATGCAGCAGCCGTAGATATAATGTGGAGAGTCTTTAAAAACTCATTAGACATCAACGATGCTAACGACATTCAAACGCAGGCTCTCCCGGTGCCGGTACACAAACTACAGCCAGATCTTTCAGTTTCATGAAATTATCCATGGAATCCAGAAATGGTCAACTAGCAGGTACCTATACTTATACTTACCTACGTAAATAATAATACAAAATCCTAAATAAATCTCTGAACAAGATTTAGAAAATGTAGGCACAACGACTGAGAGCTTGCAACATCATCATGCAATATTATCTTTTAGCAGTTGACTGCCATAATTTTTATTACTACTATGGATAGCTTACCTTGCTGGCAATTTCTTCTGTACTTCAGTCCGTTCATGAGTTCACAACACAGTCACAACCACAGTTCACTTCACACATAGGGATCACCGGTTTCTAGCTTTCTTCTTACGATTTATGCAATATCAATAAACGTAAATAATTTAACGCAGCTAAGTAAATCAAGACAAATAGGTTAGGTTATCCTCACTGCTTTACTTTCAAACTAGATTTTTTTTTCACTAAGTAAACTATAACTTTCATCAAGGCAAACTACCCTACAAAACTTTTATTTATTTTTACCTACATAAGGATAATAATATCACGTATGTAATAACTAGCATATTTTAAGAATGCAACAGCAAACTGTAAACAAAATATTTCCTATGATTACATGCCTTATTTTATTAAAATCAACAGAAATCTAGCGGCCAACGGGCTGAAGCAACCAGCGGAGGATTCCGTCAACTGGGACCGCAATTAACTGGGACCGCGGTCCCAGTCGCCGGATGCGTAAAAATTAAATAATTTTCTTCCGGCAACTGGGACCACTCATGGATTTTAGTACTGTACCGATTTTGGATTGAATAATATTTTCTTTAAAGTTATCTATGAGTGGTCCCAGTCGCCGGAAGAAAATTATTTAATTTTTACGCATCCGGCGACTGGGACCGCGGNGTCATCTTATATTGTTAATCACAAATTCAATCTGAACAACTTCAATCGTGTAAAAAGTAGTAACACGAGTCGTACCTCTTGACACAATAAAAAATTGAAAGAAGCCTCCGGTACACTTTGTTAAAAGTAGACATGTATCAATATACACGAAAGAAAACTCAAAATTGGTTCACAAAGCCTTACTTGTATCATTTGGCACAAAATTATTTTCTTTTCTATACGTCGTAGAAACATACCGATTAGATACAAAAATAGCTAATTTTTCAGAGATTCACATTATGTTATAAAGTCAATTTTGATCTAAGTCGAGTTAGATCCCTTTTCACTGGGGGTACAGATTTAATCTGTAGACGAATTAACGTCATGTCCTATTAAGGATGTAAAGATATCAGCAACAAAATATCGATTCTTGTATTAGAGAAATCTAACATCTACTTTTCATTAAGTAATACATTAGAATCGACACTGACACTGCTCAAATAAACTGAAATCTGTGTTTTATAAGCCCCTAAATGCTACTCAGAGATATAAGCAAACTTGTGCTTTATTTAACGTTTTATGTATAAATGAAATGACAACTAAGTTTTCGAGATCTCATCACGTGTAATAAGACTATATTTTTGTTCATCATCATCAACAGCCCTTTACAGTCCACTACTGGACTATGAGCCTCCTCCACTATAGTGGAGGGTTTTGCCATAATCTCCACGCTTGGCAGGCGGGTTGGAGATCGCAGTTTAAAAGATTGATGTTTTTCAGAGAGCGCTGCTGCCCATTCTCTGTTTGATGTGTAGTCCCTAAGTCGCCTCTTACGACACCCGCGGGATGAGTAGGGGTTGGTGACAAATGTATTCTACTTATATTTTTGTTAAAGCATAATTATTTACTTAATTTTACGTTCACAGAAAGTGAATACATATTTCTTGTTATCGGCCAGTTTAAATTAAATTGCTTCGAGATTTCGACGCTTCTTTGTAAACGTTACAAGTTTATGGAATAAATGACTATGGTCTATGACTATGACTAAGTCAACATCGATAACTTTTGGATACATTTTGGTACATAATCCCATCCCTAGTCTAATAAACTGTCAGGTTGACAGTTGATAGTGTCAGCTGACTGTCAGTTTGATTCGGTCTGTCAGTGTCAGTCAGTTAACATCAGCCATCAACCGTCCATCTGGTTTACTGCTAAAAATCCAACTATTATTACCAAAGTTCTTACAATACAAGGTCAAGAAGATTGATTTGGCTGATAACAGTGCACTTATCTATGTTTACCATGTTCATGTTGTGTTGATACGGCCATAGAATGTCTCTCAAAACTATTTTGCGGCTTCGGTAAGTGACCACTAGTTTTAATAGTCTTTCCGACGAGATTTCTCTCGTCTTTTCCTCTAACCCTACCCTCTGACCAAGCAATCATGCAGATAATAAAAGCAAGAAATCTTTAGACTGACATAACCTAAGTTTTATCAATATTTGGTGATGTTGCTGATGACATAAAAAATATTCAGTTACATCAATTTCATCAACCCAACTATTCCATTTCTAGCCAATTGAAACTGTGATTTATTTAACGTTTTATGTATAAATGACAATAATATTTTACGTCTTGGAGATCTCATCACTGACATGAAAACATTTAGTTACATCAATTTCATCAAGCCAACTATTCCATTACTAGCCAATTGAAACTTTTTAGTTTCAAACTCATAAAGTTTTATCAATTCACGATTTAAAGTGGGTACTTTTCCAAGTCAAATAGGTCATGGCAACTTGTAACCCACGCCACTCACAAGAGTGGCATTGTGCCTGCTGTAATAATGTGGATTTCGTTTCCAGTGAACTGGCCAGAAGTAGAGTAGTGAATTTCACTCCAGTGGCTATCCGAAGCTTTAGCGAGAACAAATCTGAAGATCAACAGCAAAGATGGCGGAGAAACTGGAAGATAACTGGATCGGTTCTACTTGGCTCTGTTCTTATTGGGTCTGCCATTACAGGTAAGTTTTATTAATAAATTCTATTATAATAATAGTACATATTATGATACAATCAAATAACGTTACACTGTACTAAGCTTTCATGTCACCTTATAATCCAAATATTAACATTAGTTAAATATTATAAGTAAATTCGTGTAATATTTCCAGAAAACAACAAGTAAGTGACCCCGTAATTAATTAAAGGAAACTAATTGGATTTGTTTTTACATTTCATTAATGAAACTAGCATACCTATTGATTTTGTTGACAAATGTTTACCATAACTAGGTACCTACATACCTACCTTTTATGTCTGTTTTCAGACAAATTAGATGTCAAGCAAAAGTTGAAAAAGAGTAAGAAGGAAACAACTGAAGCAGCATGTGAAGCCGGTGTCAAACGACCTGATCTGCCCACCTTCAGGGCCGAGGAGGTCAGCAAGCATGATTCCAAGTAAGTATTGTGAAGAATCTCAAACCAAAGATGTTCTGTTTGCTTCTTTGAAACTGTAAGGTTATTATGTAGTAATAGACAATTTGACACCATTCCCCAATAATTCTAAATCACAACTTTTCTAAAAAGACATTTCATTCTGGTCTTAAAAACTTAATTAATTTTAAATTACCTGTAAATTACGATTTTTGGTCGCATTGTAATAGAAAAAAGTAGTTTAATTGAGTTGACAAAATAGTGACGTCACTTGCTTGTAGTGCCATACAAATTCTATGGGAGAGTTTCGTTTTGACAGTTTTAAAAAGTACGTCAATTGATTGGTGGTGTCAACATGTCTATTATCTCAAAGAAACTATTTTAAATTTGTTTTAAGTAACTGTCCTCACCATAGGTTATCTGGAAGAGATCGCTTCATAGCGATAAGACCGCCTAGTTGTACCTTGTGTGTTCCTTTTCTTTCTGTTCTGTTCTTTGGTGTGCAATAAAGAGTATTTATTATTATTACTCCAGAATTAGTACTTTTGTTTTTCTTTGAACAAATATGATATGCTGTTGCTATATTGTTCACTCTGCCTTATCTGTTTACAATACAGATTACATAATTACATAGCTATCTGTGCATACTTATTACGTCAAAAGTAGATATAACCACTAAAATGATTTACAATAGTTTCTTGAAGATAGTTAATAGTAACAGCCATTAAACATCCATTGTTTTCGAGGAATGCGTCATGGGCGACAGTATTTTGAATTGCCAGTGATCTTCTAATAAAGGTTTTACTAATATTACGAGAATTACAAATGTGGGAAAAAATGTATATAGAATAGAATGAATACATACAATCGAATGTTCGTTCGTTCGTTCTTTTCAGCCGAAAGACGTCCACAGCTGGACAAAAGCATCCCCCAAGGATTTTCACTAAGACCGGTCCTGCGCCGCTCGCATCCAAGCACTACTTCACTAGATCGTCGGTCCACCTAGTGGGAGGCCTGCCCACGCTACGTCTTCCGGCTCGTGAACAATAAAATGTACCTAGATTTAACGCTAAGAACTATGTAGAATCTGATCTACTAGTCCCAATACAAAACAATGAGTTACATCAATTTATCACAGGCATGCAATAAGTGTAATAATAAAGTTTTTATTTAACTGTGTTGTCTGATGTGCTGTCTATCCACAGGAAAAGTTTCTGGGTGACGTACAAGCACGGTGTCTACGACGTGACCAAGTTCCTGCCTTCCCACCCGGGCGGGGAGCAGATCCTCAACGCGGCTGGGCTCAGTATAGAGCCCTTCTGGAACGTCTACGGCATGCACCTGACGCCCGAGGTGTTCGGCCTGCTGGAGACTTACAGGATAGGTGTGTATGACTTACAGGATAGGTGTGTATGACGCGACCAGTTCCTGCCTTCCCACCCGGGCGGCGAGCAGATCCTCAACGCGGCCGGGCTCAGTATAGAGCCCTTCTGGAATGTCTACGGCATGCACCTGACGCCCGAGGTGTTCGGCCTGCTCGAGACTTACAGGATAGGTGTGTATGACGCGACCAGTTCCTGCTTTCCCACCCGGCCGGGAAGCTGATATCAACGCGGCCGGGCTCAGTATAGAGCCCTTCTGGAATGTCTACGGCATGCACCTGACGCCCGAGGTGTTCGGCCTGCTTGAGACTTACAGGATAGGTGTGAAGAATTTATACTGTACTGCTTGATTAACTCTAATAATGGTAGTAGTCTTTTCTACAACTACAACTGTGCTGCAACTATTCCTAGATGATGAGACTAATGAGGGCTATCGTTTTTATTCTTAACAGTTGGCACCCCTGGCGATTGACAGGACCTTACTCTACAGTGGCGCCATCTTGATGAGTGCAAATGCGATAGTCCTCCTACCACTTTAGCGCTCACAAGTTGGCGCCACTGTCTTCGCTACTAGCAAGTGACAGGACCTTACTCTACAGTGGCGCTAACTGGTGAGCGCTAAAACGATAGCCCTCATTGCATCCATTCTCACTGCTGCTGCTACAACACGTCATGATCGACAGAATAATAAACTGATCGGTTGGATGTCTTAGGCCCTATTACATCATCATTGACGAATTTTTTTAGAATGATCATTCAATGTCTCATCATACTTTCCAGAAAAAAATCAATTGAAGAACAACTTTACTAGTATCTAGTCTAATATGTAGATTCATACAGCAGGTTCTGAGCAACGAGACGTCTAATCTGTAAGTTAGGCCTACTCGTAAAATTAGTAGCGGGCCAGTCAACCTACAAACATCCCCAGGTTAAATATTTTTCATTTTATGGTCCTTCGAACCGGATAAAAAATTCGAATACGCGCTAATGAAATCCGTATACATTTAAGCGATTATCACACTGCGCCGCGGTACGCGGGATGACAGATTTAATCATTATTTGCAAGTACCTCAGTTTGTATAGAAAACACGCGCGGCACAACACACTGACAATGCGTCCGCGCGGGATTTTTTATATGAAATCACGCGGAGCGCGGCGCAGTGTGATAATCGCCTTAGCCTTATTCACTAACCCCCTTTTCTAAAACATGTCCCCCACCAGGTAACCTCCACGACGACGACGTGGTAGACCACTCGGACGACGAGCTGTGGGTGCGCGAGCCCTACCGCGACAAGCGACTGCTCGTCAAGACTGCCAAGCCTTTCAACGCCGAGACGCCGCCACAATACCAGGATGCGCACTTTGACACGCCCAAGTAGGTATATCTGATCCCTCTGATAGTATACATATGTACATTATCATCTAAAAAGTGGCATAACCTCGTAAGACTTGCTGTTCCATCATTTAGGTTGCANGAATACATACAATCGAATGTTCGTTCGTTCGTTCTTTTCAGCCGAAAGACGTCCACAGCTGGACAAAAGCATCCCCCAAGGATTTTCACTAAGACCGGTCCTGCGCCGCTCGCATCCAAGCACTACTTCACTAGATCGTCGGTCCACCTAGTGGGAGGCCTGCCCACGCTACGTCTTCCGGCTCGTGAACAATAAAATGTACCTAGATTTAACGCTAAGAACTATGTAGAATCTGATCTACTAGTCCCAATACAAAACAATGAGTTACATCAATTTATCACAGGCATGCAATAAGTGTAATAATAAAGTTTTTATTTAACTGTGTTGTCTGATGTGCTGTCTATCCACAGGAAAAGTTTCTGGGTGACGTACAAGCACGGTGTCTACGACGTGACCAAGTTCCTGCCTTCCCACCCGGGCGGGGAGCAGATCCTCAACGCGGCTGGGCTCAGTATAGAGCCCTTCTGGAACGTCTACGGCATGCACCTGACGCCCGAGGTGTTCGGCCTGCTGGAGACTTACAGGATAGGTGTGTATGACTTACAGGATAGGTGTGTATGACGCGACCAGTTCCTGCCTTCCCACCCGGGCGGCGAGCAGATCCTCAACGCGGCCGGGCTCAGTATAGAGCCCTTCTGGAATGTCTACGGCATGCACCTGACGCCCGAGGTGTTCGGCCTGCTCGAGACTTACAGGATAGGTGTGTATGACTTACAGGATAGGTGTGTATGACGCGACCAGTTCCTGCTTTCCCACCCGGGCGGCGAACAGATCCTCAACGCGGCCGGGCTCAGTATCGAGCCCTTCTGGAATGTCTACGGCATGCACCTGACGCCCGAGGTGTTCGGCCTGCTCGAGACTTACAGGATAGGTGTGTATGACACCATATTTAACAAAATACCACACAACCTTGTCGAATTGCCAATAAACAAATTTAAGATACATATAAAAAATACCCTTATGTCCAAAGGGTACTACAAGGTTCGAGACTATATTGATGACAAGGATGCGTGGTCAGTTCAGTCTGCACATATTTGATGTACTTAAATTTGACTATTCTTACCGTTAGATAATTCCTGGCAATAAGTGGTGACTGAGTTTGTTCCGGCGTTTCTTCTCAGCACTTGCCATATGTTTGTCTCGAAGCGCTGGTAGGGCCCAAAAGATAAGGAGACATGTAAAGTGCCCCATAAGGGCTACCTTTTTCTTTTTTTATTATTTTCTATTGACGTTCATAAGTGCCACTTGTGGTCTAAACTGAATAAATATTTTTGATTTTGATTTTAGACCGAAGAGTAAATTTTGTCGACTTCTAAGTATCGCCGAATGTGCTTTCAGAAGAACGAAAAGTTTGTAGTAGTAAACGCCGAGCACTTCGAGTAAAAAAAAATCTATGTTAGAGATTTTCTTTTGCATTCATATTTTCAGGGGCCGTAGATAATAGTGCATAGAGCTTATTTTAGGTGAAAAATAATAAAAAAATATTTTCTCTTAAAAGAACATTCGGTGTTACAGACTTTAAAAAGAAAAAGTAAATAAATTGTATTTTATACTTTAAATAAGTAATTTTAATTAAGTTTTTAGACTAAGTAAATCCTAATTTTAGTAGGTATACATTTTAATATTGATTATCAACCATCATCAAAACTAAACCTTACCGCGACGAGATAGAACATACACGTGTTTTTGTTCGCAGCGAATTATTTTACGTGCGCCAACACATGCCTGTTCCAGACCTTGACGCCAGCCGCCACAGCGTTCGCGTCATCGTCAAGGACCGCGGCGTCAGAACGAAGGACTTCACGCTCGAAGACCTGAACAAGTTCAAACACGTCACCTTGAGAGCGGCGTTGATGTGCGCGGGGAATCGACGCAGTGAAATGAACGAGGTTGGTGCGATAAAACTATTTGTTTAGCTGTCTTAGCGTCAAGGACCGCGACGTCAGAACGAAGGACTTCACACTCCAAGACCTGAACAAGTTCAAACACGTCACCGTGAGAGCGGCACTGATGTGTGCTGGCAATCGACGCAGTGAGATGAATAAGGTTGGTGCGTTAAAACTATTTGTTTAGCTGTCTCATCGTCAAGGACCGCGGCGTCAGAACGAAAGACTTCACGCTCGAAGACCTGAACAAGTTCAAACACGTCACCGTGAGAGCAGCATTGATGTGTGCCGGCAATCACCGCAGCGAAATGAACGAGGTTGGTGCGTTGAAACTATTTCTTTAGGCGCTAAAGTGTCCGCGTCATCGTCAAAGGCCGCGGCGTCAGAACGAAGGACTTCACTCTCGAAGACCTGAACAAGTTCAAACACGTCACCTTGAGAGCGGCGTTGATGTGCGCGGGGAATCGACGCAGCGAGATGAACGAGGTTGGTGCGCTTAAACTATTTCTTTAGCGGCTATAGTATTTGCGTCATCGTCAAGGTCCGCGGCGTCAGAACGAAGGACTTCACACTCGAAGACCTGAACAAGTTAAAACACGTCACCGTGAGAGCGGCACTGATGTGTGCTGGCAATCGACGCAGCGAGATGAACGAGGTTGGTGCGCTTAAACTATTTCTTTAGCGGCTATAGTATTTGCGTCATCGTCAAGGACCGCGGCGTCCAGAACGAAGGACTTCACACTCGAAGACCTGAACAAGTTCAAACACGTCACCGTGAGAGCGGCACTGATGTGTGCTGGAAATCGACGCAGTGAGATGAACGAGGTTGGTGCGTTAAAACTATTTCTTTAGCTGCTATGGCACTTATGTCATTGTCAAAGACCGCGGCGTCAGAACGAAAAACTTCACGCTTGAAGACCTGAACAAGTTCAAACACGTCACTGTGAGAGCGGCGTTGATGTGCGCGGGGAATAGGCGCAGCGAGATGAATGAGGTTGGTGCGTTGAAACTACTTCTTTAGCGGCTATAGTACTCGCGTCATTGTCAAGGACCGCGGCGTCAGAACGATGGACTTCACGCTCGAAGACCTGAACAAGTTCAAACACGTCACCGTGAGAGCGGCGTTGATGTGCGCGGGGAATGGGCGTAGCGAGATGAACGAGGTTGGTGCGTTAAAACTATTTGTTAATTTTGAAAAGTTAATATACGTATCGTTTAGCTATCTCAGCGTAAAGGACTGCGGCGTCAGAACGATGGACTTCACGCTCGAAGACCTGAACAAGTTTCAACACGTCACTGATGTGCGACGCGGGTCCCAACAAAAAGTTTTTGTTTGTGAATTTGAATAAGTTATTTTTCATTATACCAGGTGGGACTTGCAGTAAAAAAGGGAATCAGTGACGTCATATTACCCTTTGTCATACAAAATTTTTGAGGAAGGGTTCGTGTTCAGTAAGCTTTGACAAATGTATGACATTGCAGTGTTGTGTATGTGAATAGGGTGGTTACCCTATTTTATCGTTGAATTTGAGGGTTTCATTCCATTATACTTTTGGAAGATGGAGATACTAAAAAACCTGCTGTATGTCAACCGGTGTTCGCAAATGAAATTGATTTGATTAGTGTCTATCTTTGAGACATAATTTATAATGTACCCCATTCCCTATTCCCCATTCACTAAATTACAACTGTGAAATTAAATTGGTGGAAGAATTAGCGTCTGTCACACAGTTTAAATGTAACTAGTATAGACTTTAATGATCCCTATCTTAATACAGCTCCTATTGTTAAATGTATTTTTTCGTTAAGATACCATGAGCATTGTTAAAGACACAATAAAGTTATTTATTTATTTATTTTATTTATTCCCCTCGAAGCAGGTGAAGCCGGTGAAAGGCATCAGCTGGGCCGGCGGCGCCATCTCCAACGCGCGCTGGGGCGGCGTGCTGTTGCGCGACGTGCTCGTGCACTGTGGAGTCGATTTGGAGAACACCGAGGGGAAACACGTCATTGTGAGTACACTACAATGAGAGATGATCAATCGTCTGTTATCTATAATAATATTATAAAGAGGAAAGATTTGTACCTATTTTTGTATGTTTGTAATGAATAGGCTCAAAAACCACTGAACGGATTTTGATGAAACTTTACAGTATTATTGTTCATAATATAGGCTATAATTTATGACGATCTGTGACAAACGAAATTTCACGCGTGCGAAGCCGCGGGCGGAAAGGTAGTCTGTTATAACTGAGGAATAGACTTGTCATTTTGATATATTTCCCATACAGAAACTGTCAATGTGCCAAACTTATTCTTCAGCTAAAAGCCCAAGTAACATTTTACTCCATTTAAGAGTTCACATTTAGTTCCAATGTGTACTTAAAGCATTAGTACAGTTCACTCGTGATGTATAAGCTGTATTATTGCAATTAATTACACCTATACCTGTCTAAGGGACTTATAGGAGTGTAGACTAGTGTAGAGTTATACTTTTATACGATTGTTGGTGTTATAATACTCTAACAACTATCCTTTAGTCAGCCGTCTGACTAAGAGCATTATAGGAGGGTAGAGATACGGCAACCGCTGTTTAACGGCCTACTTGTACGATGTTATAGAGCTAGCATTTTAATAGAACACACGTGGTCATTTATAAAGCCAAAGGCTGTTATGTTTACTTGTTTTAGACTGTTATACAGCTAGTAGCTGTAGTAGGACTTGTTTGTGTTAATAAAATAACCTTTTTTTACTATCTGTACAAAAGTGTTTCAATGGTTCGCATGTGCACTGTAGGCTGTTAAAAGGACTATATGTGTTGTCCATTAACATCAATAGCAGTTTATTTGTCCACAAGTACTACTCTTATTTGCTTTAAGCTGAAAATGAATGTGAATGTGATATTCTATTACACTTTTCCCCAAGCCTGTTTTTAGTTGTATTTATGGTGGTTCTGTACATGATGCAGAGGAAAATATTATGCCTGAACCTGAAAGTTCCCTTCAAAATATACAGATATCAGAGTGTGATGATTGCAGTTCTAGTGATAGTGAATACAATTTTGATTTAGACAATTATTTAACCTTTAGCAAAAAAATAAGAACATGGGCTATTGAAAATCGTATTCCTCATTCCGCTTTGAATAAATTGTCAGGCATAATAAACGAATTTAAACCGGGAACACTACCGTCTGATGCTTTAGGTATTCATACTTGACTATTAGTACCTGGGCTAGGCGATTTAACGGACATTAATAATTTTTATTGCGGATCTCTAAAATTTCAGTATTTGAAAGAATTAAAGATACACAATTGACCTGAACTAGGTACATCTTAAAGCTGTACATAAGTTCACATTAGAATAAATTTATAGACATTAGCGCTGTAGTGGTACAAATGTGGAACTTAATATAGATAACAGCATTCTAACAGAACACATGTGAACCTAATATACGCTCACCGCATTAAATTGGAGTTATAACAGTTCACATAGCCGTATTTCATTTCCACCATTTTGTTCTACATAACCTAAAATATTTACCAAATAAATCTCCAAAATTAATGCAGATTTATCACAAAATTCGCAGATAGAGCGATTGAGTTTTGGTTTCATGTTATAATTAATTACCGTAGTATAATTATAATGCCAATACAATATCAAAAACTGAAAATTGTAGATTTCCTCTCAGCCAGTTTTAAATATTTTAAAATGAATATCGCGTTTTTACAGAGGCGCGTAAATATTTTAGCTGTAAATATGTATACATTTCACGATAAAGTTGCATTCCCAATGGCATTAACATTATTAAGTATTTAAAACCCGTGTTATTATTTGCATAAATGATTATATTATCCGCCCGAGTTGTTTCCTCTTGGCACTCACGTACAAATACCAAACTAATATTAAAATGTGGAAATAATTTAGGACACACGTGAACTTTATGTAGCATTGGAGTACTTTTGTCGGACTTTATAACTTTGAAAGCTGTGCATTTAGCCACTTGTTACTCTTTATTGTCCTCACGTACGTTGTATGGTTCACACTGCGTCCCATATAGTGCCGTAAGTCAGCCTTAAGTACGATGTTACTACTTAAACTGCTATTATAATGCTATTATACTGCTAATGTACAGCCATAGTGAACTTAAAGCTGTCTAATTTGTGCCCAAACTGGTTCTATAAAAGCATTATAGCAAGCTATACAGCTCGTATACAGCTGACATACACAGCTTGTGGAGTACATGTGAACGACTATTGAACTCTTAAATGGAGTAAAATGTTACTTGGGAGTTATCCGATGATTGAAAAATCGGCCCTAGGTATCTGTTGTGTATGCTCAAATTGTGGACTCAATTTTCTTTAGGTGGTTTCATAGATGAATATTTAGCATATTTATTGCAAGCAAATCTAACAAAAGAAAAACAAAAATGTTTAAGGTTCTGTTAATGAATATAAGTACGCGCGAGCGATAAGGATGGGTAGCTTGGGGTTATTGTACGAAATTCTATCTGCTCGGCGACCGGACTTTAGTAGTTAGGCTAGGCACACGCACGTGACGTCACGATCAGCTAATTCAGATTCTTCTTTTTTTTTTAAATAAATAAATATTTGGACAATTTCACACAGCGCCAGCTAGCCCCAAAGTAAGCAACTTAATGCTTGTGTTATGGGTGCTAGCTTAACGGATATACTACTTATATACTTTTTTTTAAATACATACATATTATACATAGTAACACACATATTCTGAGTATATTCTTTCAGTTCACAGGCTCGGACATAGACGCTACGGGCGTGAACTTCAGCACGTCCATTCCTCTGTCCATGGCGGCCGACCCCACCAGCCGTATATTACTAGCTACGACGATGAACGGCGCCGCGTTGCCGCCCGATCACGGCTATCCGTTGCGCGTCGTCGTGCCCGGCGCGCCCGCTGTGCGCAGCGTTAAGTGGCTGGGTAACTCACTCTCTTGCTAACTTACTCATTCACTCGCTCGCTCACTCACTAAATCAGTCAGTCACTCGCGCATAAACCTCACTCAAAAATACTATTTACGGGTGCCTTCAAATTAGACGCTTGAGGAAGCGCTACTGGCAGAACTGTAGCGCGCAAGTCACTAATAGTTTTCATACAATTTTAGATGCGCAGTTGCAACACCACTACGTGCTAAAAGCCGTGCAGCTGTTGCACTTCTAGAAATTGTATGAAAACTAGTAGTACAACACTTCCTCACGCGTATAATTTGAAGACGAGCATTATTACTATACTGGAACTCTGTAATTTAGAGCAACATGTTTTTTGACTGAATTTACTACGTAGTACTACCCGTTCGCGCTAAGTTTGCCGGTCTGTGGAATGCGCGTCCCCTCCCCCAACCGCGATTAAACGCAATTAGTTAGTGATTAAACGTAATTAAGTGTCTTATTTTACGCAAATACACAATTTTTATCAATGTTAATAAATAAAAAATATTTTCAATATAGTTTGCTATATGTAGTTATAGACGCTTTCCTTCGAGTAACGTCATATAGCCAGCGGCAAACTTATCGCGAACGGATAGTACGTGTACACGTGAAGGTTACCACAAACCACATTCTAACATTCCATTCCATCTCCAGAATCAATAACCATCTCTGAAGACGAGAGCCCGTCGCACTGGCACCAGAAAGACTACCGCGCATTCAACCCGTCTAAGACGTGGGAGACGGCGGACTTTGCTACCGCGCCGCCGGTATACAGTCTCCCCGTCACGTCCGCATTCTGCCGGCCGCAGTCCGGCGATACGGTGCCGGTTTGCAGCGGGCACGTGGTGGCTACGGGTAAGTGACGTCATCACAAAATCAAAAATCAAAATCAAAATCCAAAATATTTATTCAGTTTAGACCACAAGTGGCACTTATGAACGTCAATAGAAAATAATAAAAAAAGAAAAGGTAGCCCTTATGGGGCACTTTACATGTCTCCTTATCTTTTGGGCCCTACCAGCGCTTCGAGACAAACATATGGCAAGTGCTGAGAAGAAACGCCGGAACAAACTCAATCACCACTTATTGCCAGGAATTAGGTATCTAACGGTAAGAATAGTCAAATTTAAGTACATCACACGTCGCGCTGGTTGCGTAGGGTGCCAGCCCCGAGTGAGCACGTGGTGGCCACGGGTATGTGACGTCACCACACGCTGCGCTGCCCGCGTTGAAAGTGCCAGCCCCAAGCGTGGTAGCCACGGGTAAGTGACGTCACCACACGCCGCGCCGCCTGTGTACAGTCTCCACGTCACGTCCGCATTCTGCCGGCCGCAGTCTGGCGATACGGTGCCGGTTTGCAGCGGGCACGTGGTAGCCACGGGTAAGTGACGTCACCACACGCCGCGCTGGTCGCGTAGGTTGCCAGTCCCGAGCGAGCACGTGGTGGCCACAGGTAAGTGACGTCACCACACGCCGCGCCGCCGGTGTACAGTCTGCCCGTCACGTCCGCCTTCTGCCGGCCGCAGTCCGGCGATACGGTGGCTACGGGTAAGTGACGTCATCACAAAATCAAAATCAAAATCCAAAATATTTATTCAGTTTAGACCACAAGTGGCACTTATGAACGTCAATAGAAAATAATAAAAAAAGAAAAGGTAGCCCTTATGGGGCACTTTACATGTCTCCTTATCTTTTGGGCCCTACCAGCGCTTCGAGACAAACATATGGCAAGTGCTGAGAAGAAACGCCGGAACAAACTCAGTCACCACTTATTGCCAGGAGTTAGGTATCTAACGGTAAGAATAGTCAAATTTAAGTACATCACACGTCGCGCTGGTCGCGTAGGTTGCCAGCCCCAAGCGAGCACGTGGTGGCCACGGGTATGTGACGTCACCACACGCTGCGCTGCCCGCGTTAAAATGCCAGCCCCAAGCGTGGTAGCCACGGGTAAGTGACGTCACAACACGCCGCGCCGCCTGTGTAGTCTGCCTGTCACGTCTGCCTTCTGCCGGCCGCAGTCCGGCGATACGGTGCCGGTTTGCAGCGGGCACGTCATAGCCACGGGTAAGTGACGTCACCACCACCACGTCGCGTAGGGTGCCAGCCCCGAGCGAGCATGTGGTAGCCATGGGTAAGTGACGTCATCACACACCGCGCCGCCGGTGTACAGTCTGCCCGTCACGTCCGCCTTCTGCCGGCCGCAGTCTGGCGATACGGTGCCGGTTTGCAGCGGGCACGTGGTGGTTACGGGTAAGTGACGTCACCACCACCACGTCGCGTATGGCGCATTTTCATTAGTCGATAACTCGTTCGGTATACAGCATGCGGGAACTCCCCGCATGCGAGATAACGACCAATGAAAGTTGCAAGTCGATACGCGTTCGGTACAACGCCTGCGGGGATTCCCCGCATGCATTATACCGACCGTGCTATCGACCAATGAAATTCATCAGTCGATATACAGCTTGCTCGCACCCAGAATCTTTTTTTCTTTTTCTTCAGTGAGGCTAATAGTTTCTTCTTCAATAAGCCACATACAGTCAAAATTGCTCCACATAACATTAATTGATGATCCATGGAAAGAACGTCTGTCTCAGTGCCACCCTCGTTAACAACTGGCGACGATGTTCTCTCCCCGCATGCGGATCATATCGACTGATGAAAACGGTTCCCCGATTGCGGGCCCTGTGACACGCGTTCTAGAAATCTCTAGGGTGCCAACCCCAAACGAGCATTTGGTAGCCACGGGTAAGGTAGCATAGCTACTCAGGCATTCTTCTATTGCTAGCCTACGATGCGCGCCAAGATATTGTCGAACATTTTATCGATTTAAGATAAGCTCATAGATTTATCAAAGCGCTGATAAGATCATAGCACGCACCTTATGCTAACGCATTGCTAGTGAACAGGATAATATGGCGCTTTTTTCTACCACCTACTTGTAGCTATCTTTATAAAGTCTTTGGAGTATTGATGCATCATAAGGTTAATTACCTAAAGCCCGGTCACAATTTAGAGAAGCATTGGGAAGAATTGCGGTAGCTTGGGGTCATTGGACAAAATTCTACGTGCCCGCAGACCAGTCTATAGTATATTTCTCAGCGAAAAAGTGCAGTGATTTTTTATACAGGGTGTCCCAAAATTAGCACTAAACTTGTTCGATGCGTCAGGTCCAGATACCTCCAGACAGTGTGCTGTGCTAATTTGGGGACGTCCTGTATACTTTTTAATTTGCTTAGTTAATTCACTTGTTTAACGTTGACCCATCTTGTATATTCAAACCATCACCAGGTTACGCTTACTCCGGCGGTGGTGCCAAGATCCTTCGCGTAGACGTGAGTGCTGATCAAGGCAAGACCTGGATAGAAGCTGAATCGACGGCCGTGGACCCAGCACCACACAAGCAGCACTACTCCTGGATGCTGTGGAAAGCTAACATACCCGTGGATAAGGGGCAGAAAGAGGTAAGTGTGAAGAAATACTGTCTTTAGCACTTTTTACCAAAGTAAACCTGGATAAAGTCTGAACCAGCCATTGTGGACACCATATCTCATAAGTAGCAATACTCCTGGATGCTGTGGAAGGCTTACATACCCGTGGATAAAGGGCAGAAAGAGGTAAGGGTGAAGAAGTGCCGTAACTAAGACACTCACAAGCCATTTGCTAAAGAGACTGCTCCTCATAAGTAGCACTGCTCCTGAATTTACTCAAACGCAGGTATAAAGGACAGCAACACAGCACATTAGAGAAAATGGCTTCTTTATTTGACGCGTTTCAGCTCGGAATGACAACTTCTCAAAATGACAACCGGGGCGCAAAATGTCCACTTCTCGAAATGACAACTTCGTAAAATGTCAACTTCGCTAAAAGACAACTTCTCATAATGTATTTTTCTCACAATGACAAATTCGCATTTGGTCTACTTCGCATAATGTCAACTACTTGTTGATATTTTATTTTCATTATTTCTAGAGTTCTAGTTCTTCTAGAGTTGTCATTATGTGAATTTGTCATTGTGAGAAATAGACATTATGAGAAGTTGTCTTTTAGCGAAGTTGACAAATTTAAGAAGTTGTCATTTCGAAAAGTGGACATTTTGCGCCCCGGTTGTCATTTTGAGAAGTTGTCATTCCGAGCTGAAACGATTTGACGGACCAATGTGAGTGCTTCGGAGTAATACAATACAACATCTGGATAGAAACTATTTGTGGTCTGTGGAATGTTTAGAGCGGGTCCAAAGGGCTTAGTGTGAGTTTACATCAAACTTCGTCATTAGTGAGCGCGTATAAAAATACATTAAATGTATGAATTGTACAGCGCCCCTAGCGGAAACTTTCAAGAACTAAAATTTTCATATATTTTTTAACGCGTTCACTAGTGGGGACATTTGATGTTTAAACTCACATTAAGCCCTCTGATGACGCGTGTTTACTCGCGAGATCTAGCGAATCGAGTCGAATGAGGCGCATAACTCATTGGCTCAAATCGACTATTCAGCTAATATGGCACCTCGGGTCAGAATATGGAACCCGACCCGAAATACCCGTGGTATTCGAACCTTCTTCTCTTGATGCTAGTTGACTGTTCATCATCTTTGCTTTTCCTCTTAATTCACCAATAACTCTGAAAACAGGTGGAGCTCTGGGTGAAGGCCACGGACAGCAACTTCAACACGCAGCCGGAGAAGTTCCACGACATCTGGAACATCCGAGGCATCCTCAGCAACGCCTACCACAAGATCAAAGTCAAAGTACAACATCAATAGTTTGTAAACACCCTGTATAGGCGCGGACCCGCGCTACCAGAATAAATACAAATGAGTAGGTCATCTTCATAGAAACGCACCGAGCGCGGTTTGTATGTGAGCGCAGGGTCGGACTGGGCCGGAAGGGCCCGGGTGGCTGATAGCAATCCCGAGGCCCGAGACTAGATCATGGTGATGGGATACTATCGAAAAATACTGAGATACACAAATTGAGATAAACAAACTTTAAAAAATTTATTACAATACTAAAATAAAGTAAAATAATAAGTAGGTATTTACTAATAACAAATAATAATATAAAGCTAGCCAATCAACATTTTTTTTTTCTTCCAATTACTTATTGTAAAGAAAACGTAATAACTTTTAAAGTAAGAGGTATAATATCCTGTAAAAACAGTAATAATGCTAAATAACAGACGATACTAAAAAAATACATAAAATACTCAGAAAATGCCAACAAATAATAAAAAACGATAGCTACTTTTTGAAAAAAATCTGCTTTTAAATTCGTGTATTTTTGGTTATTTGATAAATTTCTCCAAAAAAAGCCCCTATAACAGGTGGTTTTTATTACTTTGCATTATTCTCTATCGTATTACCTTTGTAAAACCAAAAATCGCATGTCTCTATCCCTATCACAACATTTGCTATATTATGTTTTTGTGACGAGTGGTTTCCCCACAATAGTCCAGCGGCGGCGGGGTTCAAACCAGTGTTCCTTGGATCCCGAGTCGGCCAGTCTGACATCTTCACCGTTCGGTATTGTAGCTTTGTTCTATAGTTCAGGATTCTATGTGAGTATCTACTGCTTGACTGCCAAAAATCCAACCAATGAAGGCCAGGGCATCATGAAAGAAACATAAATGGTCAAAGCCCTCTTTCCCACTGGGCACTTTAGGCACGTGCTCAGGGCCCCGCGACGGAGGGGGCCCCCGTCTGTCCGTCTCAAAATACCTTCTTCTAGATGACAAGGGCCCCCTTGATCCGTAAGTGCCCAGGGCCCCTAGTAGGTTAAAGAAGGCCCTGTGTTTACATAACTTTTTGTCCTAAATTAAATTAGAGAAGTTATACATAAGCAAAAAGGATTTTTTTTTTTGCTTATAACTTCTTCAATCTTTAATTTAAGGCAAAAATTTATATTAACATATTTGTAGGCAAAGCCATTTTCTACAAATTATGACTGTACAATTTTTTTGTACGACGCATAGTTTCCGAGCCATGCACGCGGGCAACCGTAGCACAGGGTCCACGCTGCGCGGGCCCCCTGTGCTACGGTTGCCGCATGCCCCGCAACCCAGGCCGTTGGGGGCCCGCGCAGGCTGGGGCCCGGCTGGCAAATGCCACCCCGACTGTATGGCCAGTCCGACGCTGTGTGAGCGCGCCAATATACGTATGCGGCGCGCACGCACACGCTGACAAAATTCGGCGCAACCACGACTGGCTCCCCGCTAATCCCGCAAAATGTTGTCAGTGTGTGCGTGCGCGCCGCATACGTATTGGCGCGCTAACATACAAACCGCGCCCGTGCGTTTCTATGAAGATGACCCACTCATTTGTATTTTCTGGCGGTACTGACGATACACCATCCATAGAGCAAAGACTAATGATCGCACACTTTCACGATCTCTTCACTTGCTTGCGCTTGACCACAACCTTATTCCGCGCCTGAAATTCGAACGTCACGGCCTGTATAAATTTATAGAAATGTCACTCCATGATGAAGAGGTGAGTTGACGATTGATGATTTCTGAAATACAATACCTATTGCTATTGCGATGTCACTTCCGAATATTGATATATCTTATTTAAAGTTAATTTAAATATAAAGTCTTATGTTTTTCCAAAATGGCCAAAGAACGCTTTTAGTCAAACTCGCCAATAATACCTACTAATTATAAAATGGTTTTAGTTATAACTTCGAACAATTGGTTAGGTATCTTATTTTCTATGATTTTGTGTTACATTTTCCGTTAATATTTACATTCTTAGGACTTGAATAGACAAACATGAACAAAAGTATTTTAGCAAAAAGATCAGAGATTATTATTTTGTTTTATTTTCATACATGAAGTTTATTTATTTTAAAATTAAATGCATGCAACACACAAGTACATGACAACTGGAATATTCTTAGATTTTAAAGTTACATACATAATTTATTTGGGTCATTCCACAAAAATATGTCAACTCTTAGTCCGCGCCACATTTCACATGAAATATTTGTTAATATTTTATTCCAAAATTGTTAAATAACAGCTCGCAATGTGCTTTATTCATCACCCATTTATATTTTTTGAAACTATTTTTAAAACATCTTAAATTCCTTTTGAATGACCCAAAACGTCATTCCCTAGGCATGTCCGTACTCCAAAAGTTTGTGTTTTGGGACCCACATTTATAAAAACATCAACTTTATCCTTTGTTTTAATTAACGAATAATCTATTTAAATGTATATTACACCAAATTCTATTAATATTTTGCGGTTTCAATAAACAATAATTTGATTTTCTTTAGTTGAAAAAGAGTCTACAGTTTTTAGCGTCATTCCCTCGCCACGCACTGATTTTATAATTTTGCGCTTTAATATGTATTTAGAGTGAATGACATTTAGTTGAGTTTAAAGTACGATACGAAGTTATCCTCAGACCATACTGGCTTTGCGGTAGCCGTTTTTTGAATAAGTGCAAACGTGCCAGTTGTTGCGGAAACATGTGTTAATCCAGTCACTTCGTCAGTCCCTAGTTGAGTAGCTTTATTGATTATAATAGGAAATTGTATATAATTTAATAGTATTTACGTGTGGTTTTTTGGCTATTTTCGGCACATCGTATTAAGCATCTTATAATATAAAGTTAATCTGCATTTGTGTTAAGTTTTACTCCAAATCGTCAGTCCCTAGAGCGTCAGGCCCTAGCTTTAAACGGCACTTGGAACTAAATTACTAGTTAGGGAATGATGTTTTTTATATAGTGATAATAACAAAACAACTACATTATGTGTATTAACTTATCTATAAATGTTAAGGTTATAAGTTTTATACTTTATTAGAAGTCATATTGGAGTAATGTAGTATGAAAAAATTGAAAATTATAATTTCTCCTAAAATAAAGCATAAAGTGACTGGCCCTTTTAGACATAACATAATTAATTAATAAACAATAATTTACACTAATAAAGTATTCAAAAGCATCTTAAAAAAGTTACGGACAAAATGACGTCGAAAATATACAGATTTTTATGGAATGACCCATTTACTAATAATATGAGTTGTAGTACTTGTAGTATAATAGGCTAGTTGCCTAAAAAAATTTTTTTAGTCCGTAATGTTTAATATCAAAAAATATTGGACACATATTATTTTTATTTGTCAATCTAACAAATAATTACATAGTTATGGTGCGTTGAAGTTGCGCACGACGTCACAACGTGCGGCATTTTTAAGCAAGCGTTGACGTCACGGGCCTCTTCTTATGAACTTTGGGGCGCTTTATCTCTTAAAATTTTCATTAGTTTGAAAAAGTGAAAAATACGTGTAGAGTATTTTTTGATAAGTTAACTGACGGACTAATTAAAACTCTTGCTTTTTGACCCAGGCAACATCCCCATTGTTACATAATTATATTTAAAGATTGTTATATTGTATATCTTGTAAAACGTATATTTTAAGTAGTTACATAATTTATATTTTAGTATACATATTATATTTTTTTAAATTGAAAGTTCTATGTAGTAAGTTTGTTGTAATCATTGGCCATAATATACACCTATTATCTGAATAAAAATAGTAATAAGAAGTCAAATGTTTATTTTATTGCTATCAGACACTCGGTCCACAAACCTTTTACGGTATGAAACTAATTACATATTTTTAACTAAGATGTGCCATGCCATTCCGATAATTCTGTTATCTTTTGTTTTACTATCACCCGGTTGCGTGAAGGAGGATTTATTTAATATATTTTTATTTGATTTACATTTAAATATTATAGCTAATGTAAATATCAACTAGATAAATAATTTACTATTTTGCCGTTAAATACGTCATTTATTTTTCTCCTAAACAGGATCTCAAATTCTCCGTAGCCCTTGCGCTACCTATCGGTAGATAAAGTAGATATTTTCTCGACTTTTAACCTCCTACTTCAAATTAATAAATACCCACTAGCACAATTATTGTGCATGAGATAATGGTCAACTAAACTTTATCAACACGCCTAATCACTCCATACATTGTTGTGGACTTTACATTATACGAATATCATCTCGTAATATTTTATGTAAATGTGAGCTACTTTTATCTCCAGCTATCAAACTCCAAACTCCGAACCGGTTTACAAGTTAACTGACCTTCGCGAGCGAAACATGTTCGCGACGAAACGCCTTGTGAATCTAATATTGGGTGGCAATAAAATAAAAACTTCGCAAACTTTAGTGCAACGTTACAAACATGAACATTTACAAGTAGAAATCAGCGGCGAAAATCTCAAGTTCCCCTACGTGTGGTTACGAGATAACTGCCAGTGCGAACAGTGCTTCCACAAGACCGCCAAAAGCCGGATATTGGATTGGACGAAATTCGACCTTAACGTCAAACCAAAAGACGTATTTAAGGACGAAAACTCCGTGAAAATATGCTGGACCGACGGACACACCTCACAGTATAAATTAAACTGGTTAAAATTCAGAAGTTTTACGCCTAAAAGTCAACAAAAGTACAACGAGACAATATACAAACCGCCGAAAATCACGTGGAACAATGAAAACTTCGCTGAGATATTCAGTAAGCATGATTATCACGAAATATTGAACTCTGATAAAGCACTCTATGACTGGTTGCATAAACTTTCCGTGTATGGAGTTGCGCTGATTCAAAATACACCGGATTCTGAAACTGCAGGGGATGCTATTGTGGATAAGGTTGGCTTCACGAAACGGACGCACTATGGAGTCAAATTCATAGTTCAAAATGTTCCTAACACGAGCAATGTGGCATACTTATCGAGTAATTTGCAAATGCATACAGATTTACCCTATTACGAATACTGCCCTGGAGTGAATTCTCTGCACTGTCTAGTGCAGACTGAAGGGCAAGGGGGTGATAATCTTCTGTCTGACGCACACTACGTGGCTCACTATATGAAGGAACATCATCCAGACCAGTTCAAAGTATTGACAGAAACCGAGGTTGAATGGTGCGACATCGGCACGGAACACGGCAACGATTTCTTTAAGCTGTACAGAGCTCCAGTCATCTGCCTTGACAGTAAGGGTGAAGTAATCAGGGTAAACTTCTCCATTCCCCAAAGAGGCAGTCATTTCCCTGGACCGATAGAGAGTGTGGTGCCCTGGTATGAAGCTCACAGTTTATTCTTTAAGCTGAACCAGCGTTTTGCTGCCAATTTCAAGACCAAGGCTGGAGAGATACTGATTTTCGACAACATCAGGTTGCTCCACGGTCGCAACGCGTACGAAGACAACGGCAATAACGTCCGGACGCTGATAGGCGCGTACGTTGACTGGGATGAGGTGTACTCGCGACTGCGCTGTCTGACAGTCAAATTGAAGAATGAAGATGGTATTTAGTCATTGAGAACAATGACTGTTCATTATAATGAAAATTTTATGTGTCCTTCATTAAAATATTTCGTCCAACTGTAATCATTCACAAATTAGTAGATTCCTTAATAAATTCTTATGAATGACTTTGGTGGTTGTTATCTTCTTCTTTACATCTAAAACTATGTAAAATATTGGTAACAGAGCAGGTGAAGATACGAAAAATAATCGTAGTTGTAGAATACAGATAAAGCACACTATAACCTTATTGTAGGTTTATTGTTGTACCACACAAGACAAATGATCCCAGACAAGCTTAGAATAGTTAAAATAATGGTACATAATATTATTGTGTAAATAGATCTTATTGTGCAGCCAGACTGCTAAAAGCAGTTATTTAAAAAAATAATGATTCAAATTAGGCAAAATTAAAATACACATTATTTAATGGCATAATTTATTAAATAATTCTTAGTAAATATCACAGTATTCTATATAAAAGCTATATTTAATGTAAATCTACTGTGGTTGAGGAGGCTGCAGGTATGGCCTAACAGGCACCGGCAGAGACAGGTAGTTGAAGGCTTTGCCCAATTTCCCATAATGCCAGACATGTGACGGAGCTCGAAAGTTATTTTTTAGGGTACCTATGCCTCATCTTCTGATAAGGTGGCCCCAGAATATGCAACACATTATGCATATCCTGCCCAGTTTTAATACACTGGTGTTTCATATTTCCACATAACTTTCTAACCTATAGTTTCTTATTGGAAAACTCCTAAGTGGGATGATATTGTCCATGTCTTTCCTCTTCCCATTTACTTCCACCAAAGGAAAATCTTCAAATACTGGATCGAGTGCCATGGAAACCGCCATAGCTTCATTTGTGTGGATATGAATAGTAAAACTAGCATCTTCCGGTAAAGTTTTGTATGTATCACATTTGGCTAAACAGAGGCAAAAAGCTCGTAAATTCTGCTCGGCTTGGATTAAATACGCGTCTGATGTCTCGTCATAGTCTTCAGTTCTGTGCACATCAAATACGAACTTCATAACAGCCGCGTAGTCAGCGTCGGTGATTGCAAATACCACTCGACTTAGTTGACCATTCTTTAGACATTCCCGGATGCTTTTTAAACACAAATCAATATATTGCCTTATTTCAGGATGAATGCAACTGTAAACAACCACATTGTACTTTTTTCTAGTTTCAAAAACGCTTTGTGGGTACACTGAAGTGTAATAAAGTATGCTATGAAATGCAACCGCTAGGAATTCCACAGTTATATCTTGAAAGCAAGGGTCCATTTTGCCCACAGAGCACGTAATAACTTCTACCGTTCTACCTATACGAAATTAATTTCCAATCCAAAAATTTTACACTCAACACACAGTTTGTTTTTGTGGTTGTTTTCACTTTGGTTTTCACATTGTTTTGGTTTTAAAAAAGTGACATTGACATTTAATTATTTTTTTAATAAACTTGACAGATTATAGATCAACGTTCCATATTACGCACATCTCAATCTTAAGTTAGGCCGGCCCAGAACAAACAGTGAAACGCAACTGCAAAAGATGATTCTCATGAATGAAACTGAAACTGAAAGTTTCAAACTGGTCGCGTCATGTGTGGTCTCTCAACGGACGCTATGGCAGAAACTTAGATAGATGCAACTATTGATGTGCCGTTCCCGAGAACGCTCTCTCAACTGAGAATATTCTCGGGAGCGTTCCCGGGAGCGTTCTCCTAAGTGAGAAAGGTTGAGAATCATGTTTATCAAATGGAAATAAACAAACTTTCTTAAGTAAAATAGTATTAAATTAAGTCAATAGATAAGTGTATATTAAACAATACACTCTATTTGCAGTGAATGGCTATATTCTCAGTGTTCCTGAGAATATTCTCGGGAACTTTCTCGGCAATATTCTTGGCAACTGCACCTTTATTATATTTTATTTTTTTCGTGGTGAAATGTCGTTTTAATGATATGTAAGATGACAGAAATTTCTTTTTATACATAATTAAATAATGTAACTGTCCATTTTTTCGTTTTTAACACGCTCTTATTAGGTCGTCGTGTATGTAACTAACTATGTAATGGAATCTTAGAATCTGAATTACACACACTTCTAAGTATTGTATCATCATGAAACTTGGCAATTACTATATGTAGATTAGAAATGACAATACAATATTGCGGTACCTACCAGCTGGTCTGATGAAGGGACTGGAAGGTGGCCAAAAGAACTCCTAAACGAAACGGCGGAATCACATCGAGTTTGAGTTCATTGGATGTCTTTTCGAGATCTTTAAGTGCTAGATAATGTTCAGGGTCCTAATGATGGAGTCAGGAGGTAGCCATAGGAACTCCTAAACGAAACGGCGGAAACTCATCGATTTTGGGTTCGTTGGATTTGTCCTTTCGAGCACTTTATTGTTAGATGATGTTCAGGGTCCTGATAATTTTTGGCTTTTTAGTGCTGTTAGTAATTAAAAGCGTGTTACCTATTAGTTTTTTAAACTATTCTTATTTGACATTAAGGGCATATTCACAATCGCTTAGTAAGGGCCTGTTTCACCACTTCTGGATAAGTTGTGGATAGCCTGTCTGACGAATCATTTGACACATTTTTATAGAAAATAAGTGCTAGCTAGATTGATCCGACACTTAGAAGAATGGTAATACTCCTCTTCAAAAAAGGTGACAAAACCTTGTTGAAGAATTATAGACCCATTTCGCTTCTGAGCCATGTCTATAAGCTGTTTTCGATAGTCATTACGAATTGTCACGCTAGCAGGCTCGACAACTTTCAGCCCCCCGAACAAGCCAGTTTCCGAAAAGGCTTTAGTAACTACCATATACCATAATAATATACGCAACGGCAGATTATACGGAAGATCAAGGAGTATAATCAGCCACTTTGCGTTTGTGGACTATGAGAAAGCCTTCGATTCGTTTGAATAATGGGCAGTACTTCAGTCTCTTCAATTGTGCCAAATTGACTATTGATACATTAAAGAGTTGAAAGGCTTGTACAAACACGCCACAGTGACAGTCCGTTTTAAGATCAGGACCCGAAACCTATCTAGTTGCAGCGAGGGGTGAGACAGGGAGACGTCATCACCACCGCCCTGGAAGATGTTTTCAAGCTTCTGGGCTGGAGCGGATTCAGCATAAATATCCACGGCGAGTACATCACCCAGACATCAGACGATATCGTAGTCATGGCTGAGATCGTGGAAGATCTAGGCACAATGCTCGATGGCTTCAACAGAGTCTCTCAACAAGTGGGTCTCAAAATGAACATGGACAAGATTTAAAAATCATGTCTAAAGACCGTGTTGCACCCACTCCTCTATAAGTTGGAGACTCTACACTTGAGGTTGTTGACAATAATGTATACCTGGGACAAACAGTCCAGTTAGGTAGGACCAACTTCGAAAAAAAAAGTCAATCATCGAATCCAGCTCGGCTGGGCAGCCTTTGGGAAGCTTTACGATATTTTCACGCGGCTTCTCTGTCGCGTCGCCACTCCGCTTTAAATCCACTTTGAATCCGCTTGCAATCCGCCAGGGTGGCAAGGGCCTTAAAACTCAGAGGCACACTGATGTTCAAATACCGTAGCCGAGTCCTAAAGCCGCGGTACGCGTTCGCCACGAAAAGAGTGAGCAAGACAGCAATATCTCACTCACACGTTTCATGCCTTGTTTATAACGACTAGGCATAACGCCCAGTTAATAAAACATCGAAACATTACAGATAATATCACATATGAACAACAAAATAAAAATTAAAACTAAATTCATTCTGTCGAGAACACTGAGAATATTCCCGGGAGCGTTCTCGGTTCTCGAGAATATTCTCACTGGGAATATTGCCGGGAACGAGAACTTTCTCAGCGGCACATCTCTAGATGCAACTCAAAAGTAACTAGCAGTTGCGTTTCACCGTCTGTTCTGGGCCTTAAAGTTGCATGCGATTCCGCACAGAGCACGCGATTCCGTATAGGGAGGGTAGTTGAACGGAAAGCATAGTCGATCTTTTTTTATTGGTCTAAATCACTCCAAATATACCAAAGGCTTTCCATAGACGAGCAGATGTGTGCAACCAAAATGAGTCATTACCTTAGATTAATATTAATCTAAGGTCATTACATAAAACAGTACATGCCAAATAAACCTCACAAGTAGGGGTTTTTTTTTATTTATTTTTTATGCATAACAAGGCAGGTATTTGACCACAATCGCACCTGATGTTAAGTGGGGTTCAAGTTGTAAGTACCTCATCACATTTCAGATTAGAACTTGCTGTAAACCCTCTGTAAATTGGGTCTACCTGCAAATGGCGCTATACGTGGTCGGCCTAGTGGCAGCAGCAGCACCATACAAGGAGAACTTGCACTGAAGAAATTCCGAGGACCAGCTCAACCAATCCCATCGAAAGATGTCAGGTTAGATCAAACATCTCATTGGGCGTTATTTTGGCTGGACAAGCAGCAGAGGTGCAAATTCCCAAAATGCTCAGGGTTTACTTTCAAAATGTGCCAAAAATATATAAAATATTGTGTACCTATCATTATGTGATACAAAAAAAAAAAGTAATTATACAGGGTGTGGCGTGTATTATATAGTGGTCCAAAGCAAAAGGATCGATACACTGTACACTGCGGTAGGTACACACACACCAATGTGTACGTTACTCCAGCTGGAAAGTAGCTCCTAGAGTGATATGAGTAGAAGGTATAATTAGTTCCCAACATGGTGTAAATGTGCGCCGAATTAGAGATTAGTGCGTGCTGTCGTTTTGGTACAAAATGAAAAAAACGATTCCTGCTGGAGTAACGTTGTTCTAGCAGGAAAATTCTAAACGAATGATCGGAAAGAGAAAAACTGTGTACGAGCAGATAGCTTATATTTGTTCTATTATGTGAGCTGAAAATGTGATTTGTGCGTCTTCAGGTTTTCGAGATATTGCATTTCCTGCCAGGGTAACGTTTTGCAGAATGCTCTATCTCAATAACCGTTATATGTGCGCCTATAGAATAAACATACACGAGTAGCTCTTGATTTGTGCGTATATGTGAAAGAAACATGTTTGTGAAAATATTTATAAATATCAAGTAATCGAGCTTTCTTCAAAATCCGAAAAAATCGTGTAGCGCCTGAATAACAAAACATACAAGCTCACTGAAAACTGTATTCGATCCTTCTTAAGACGTATTATAACCATAGAAAGTTTCAAAAACGCACATTCATGGGTCATTGAATAATATCACTAAAAGTAATTACGACGGAGCTATAACTTTGACGTCAAAATACAAGGAATCAGCTACACCAAGATGAGCGGATGTTAACCGTATAATTAGAGCGTTTATTGAACAAATATAAAATACAATATTCAGCTTGGAATGTATCGCTTAAAAAAAGATATGCATAAAAATATCAAATTGTAAATACCGGCTGGTTATCCGACCAAATTCGAATGCATACAAAAAAGCGACGGATTCATACTTATCGACGACCTTCCACATTAAGCGTATTAAACTTAAGCTGTTGTTAGTACAGTCGTGTTCAAATGTTTTAGGCAATTAATAAATATATAGTATTATTTTAGATCAGTCTTTCCCAAAGTGGGCGATAACGTCCCCTTGTGGACGCTGCAGGCTTAAAGGGGGGCGGTAAGAGACCCAGAAAAAAAATCGGGACGTTGTGCAGAAGCTTGGGAGGCGTCATCTACTAGGAGGACTCTTAAACACCGACTGAGCTCGACTCTTGACTACAAAAATGGGGGGCGCTAATAATATTTTATTCTCAAAGTGGGTAGTAGACTAAATAAGTTTGGGAACCGCTGTTTTAGATGGTTAAGGGGCTTTACTAGGGGAAAACGGCAATATTGGACCTCTTTTCTATTTCCCGTTACTTAAAGATATTTCGCACAGAAATTTGTCAAAATTCCACGTGGCCGCATTGAGTTATAATGTACTACGTAGTAATATTACTTGATTCAATGCGTGGCCGCGAAGCCGCGGGCGGATAGCTAGTTTTTTACAAAAGCTCAAGACGACCGTGTTTTACAATAAACGTTCCTAATAAAATCACAACGGACATCGCGGCATCGGTATTTACCTCTTCGATACAGTCAGGAGACTTTTAGATTTCAAGAAAACTTAAGCGCTCCTGCTCGCGACGCCGCCACCGCGTCGCCGCCGCGCCGCCGCCGCACCGTCGCCGCGCTAATATTTCTATTAACTTTCCGATAAAAATGTGAATGGCGCTTACGATGTTTAGTTTCGAGCTCGTTGATAGACACCCTTATTTTCCTGTGTACCCTTGGCTGTTCCCTTGATGGTACAGTGGAAAATAAATTTTAACCGCTGTACCCTTGACCGTAAAGATGGGTTCATGGTTACACGAGTTAGAGTAGGCGCACACCGTTGATTTTTCGTCGGCCGATAGTTTAGTTGGGCTGTTGATCAGTATGGGCATGTATGGGAGTGCGCACACTACGCCGATTCGATTTGGCCGATTCATCATACAATTTGAAATCGGGCACAACTATCGGCCAACTAAAAATCAACGGTGTGCGCCTACTCTTCTGGATGACGAAGAATGACACGCTCGTTTTCATACTTTTCATTCTATTTAGGTATTTGACATGCGGTATCTATTATTTAAATCTATGTGCGGAAACGTCACGAAATCTGAATCTTCATTGACCGCCGAACCCCCTATATAGGCCAGTAGAATTAAACACAAAAATTGATTAAATCGGAAATAATTCCTACAAAAGATTTTTTTGCTTTAATGGCTTCATTGGTTGCCTATTAAGACTCTCCTAAGTTTTCGACTTCGACGGAGTTGTGCTTAAGTGGTGGGGGCCCCCGAAAGAGGCGTTTTTTCGGTTTTCCGGTTATACCGCGTAAAGGACTTACCCTATCGAAAAGTGGTCTTCATGACGGTTGAAGGGCACTTAATCCTGCATTGAATAAAACCAAATTCAAATGTTTTGGACAAACCGTTCCCGCGCTAAAATTCGGAAAAGTAGAAAATTTACGTATAATTAATGACCCTCTCCACGTCCAATGGCTTGTTACCCACAGGCTTCCAAGTCTTGAAAAGGGCCACCTCAACCAGTGTAATCCTATCAAGGCTTACGAGCTTGATGCGCCTATCCTTGTGCGTCCCAGCCGTTCCTTAACTGCGGTTGGTGCAACTCTTCCTTGCACTCTCCTGAACGACCCTCTGTGGCTGTCCCTCTTCCTTGCAGCCTCCTGCACGACTACGTTGCCTAGCCGTATGCCTGGTCCAAGGTTCGACGCCATAAAATCAACTTCGCACGCGTGAAAATAGTTTAAATACTTTTTTCCGTGCTTGCAACATTTTTCTTTACTGCTTCGGCTCTATTAGTCGTAGAGTGATTGTATATATCCTATAGCCTTCCTCAATATCAAATCGTAGTGAGGCGGGTCGTTACATTCCCTCTAATATGGTCGAGTGAAGCGATGGCTGGTTCACTCGTCATGTCTGTGAACAGGCGCTGCTTTCGGGGACTGGTCAATCCAAGTTATTCAAATTTATGTATGCGAGTCATTTCTACTAGTATCTTAATATGTNCGTACACCATACCAATAGGTATTTAAAAAATCATGTTAAATGGTGTTCAAAAACTAAAGGTAGAGTCAACCGATTTGCTAGTAGTGAGTATTGACTTTCGAAACAAAACTAATTGTTTAATATTATTCAGTTCGTAAAAAAATATTGGAATAGGTACTTAGTTAATACATAAATGAATTCAATTTTGTATTACAAAAAAATATTTTTTTTTAACCTTGAATTTTTTTATATGTATGCTGGTTGGTACCTCAGTGTACAGTGTATCGACCCCAACCCCTTTGCTTTGGACCACTATTTAAGGAAATACAACAATATCCATTCTTATCATTGTCTGTCACAGAAAAACTATCGCGCGCGTCCCTTTTTAAAAAAACTGGGATAAAAACTATCCTATGTCCTTTCCCGGGACTCAAACTATCACTATGCCAAATTTCATCAAAATCGGTTCAGTGGTGGTTCACATTTATAATACTAGTATAGATAAAATATTTTTTTTACTAACAGAAATAAAATATGTTTTAATTAACTTAAATACAATTTATTTTACAATAAAAGTTCTATTGATTAATGAAGCTACAGCAATGTTGAATCCATTTATTTATCGGGGATTGCCTCTAGTCCCTGCAACAAAATAAAAAACAGATTTAAAGATAAAATTAAGTTTAATAGCGAACTTATGTAGGTAGGTACATACCTAGCCAGGATTTATATTGTCATTATTTATTTTAATAATAAAAGTTCTTGGTATGTTTAACTAATAATAAATTAAAACTCACATTGACTTTGTAAGGGTTCCCAGTGAGCCTCAAGTCACGCTGGTATGTGATGCGGTCCCATCGCTGGAGGAGTGTGCGTCTGTAATGCTGTAGAAAAAGATCTATTGTAAGTAATGTAATTAAAAATTGTTCAGTATTTGCTTATTTCTTTCACTGTTCGATTACATACTGGTTTATCATCCTATTGTAAAGATTTAAATACTGCAAAATAAAGTACCTATTGGTTGATTAACGAAGGCGCAGTCGTTTTTTTATCTATGGTAGAAGAAACTAAATAAAAATATAATTCCTGCTCTGTGAAAATCTCTCCAGTGAAGTTGTTACCTAATCGGTAGGTTATTATTTTTGTCACTTACATTGCCCAGTGTCAAGTTGTGAATGTGATAAAGACCCCATCCAGGCAGGCCTAAAGCCGCTGTTATTATGAAGAAACTCGGCAGAATTTCGTACCACATATTTACAAAAATTCGAACAGTGAACTCTGCAAACACTTTGTTTTACAGAATGACAGTTTCATGCACATTGCCAGTAAAGAATATCAATTCGTACCAACAGTGTGACCCATCTGAGTGCCAAGGTAGGAATTATTTAATTATTGTGGAATATGGAGGTAGTTATGATTTTTTTTGGTTTCTTTACGAATGAGGATCATTTCGATTTTTAGCTGTGAATGCAGATTTATAGGGCTAAGAAATCCTTAATACACAGTGCAAAAATTTTTGTTCTACGACAAAAATTGACGAAGTTATGGCCAAATTACTAAAAAAGTTCACTGACCGCCCGGCGCGGGGACGATGACGTCATTATATCCGATCCGAACGCTGCCGGCGTACTGCGTGGATAGAAAATATTTTTTTCTAACCAAATTATCAGTTTTAGAGAAAAACTTGTAATGACATTTATATATCAGAATAAAGTAAGCTATCGATAGGTAATTTTAAAAAATGGAAATTGTGAAAAATAACGCAAAAAATCCATACGCTCATACGATTCGATGGCACGCAGAGACGCGATTGGGGTCTCCGCGGTGGTATATTTGGCGATTTATTCAAATAAAGTGTACATAAGTGTTGTTAGAGTCATATCTTCTTCCAAGTAAAATATAAAAATGTATAAGTATTAATTTATTTACTTCTAACAATAAGGTATAAATTCTAACAATATGACATTGCTATGAAAATCATTTCGATGTACACTTAAAAGTTAATACCTACCTGTTATTTAGTTTTTCTGAGTTAAACCTATGCACCTACCTATCTATTCGCCGTTCCCATGGGCGGGCCAGCTGCTGCAGGAAGGACAGCCGCTCCGTGCTGGAAATCTATTTAATGTTCAATACAAACAATCATTAAGTTACACTCACCCCAACCGCGTCTCCGCATTGCATCGAATCCTATGAAAATGTGGTTTTTGGACATAGCAATACTTATTTTTCACAATTTTTATTTTTAAAAATTACTGGTCGATAGGTTACTTTATTTTGAAGAATAAATGTTATTAAAAGTTTTTTTCTAAAACTGATAGTTTAGCCGGAAAAAAATATTTTCCATCCCATTAGTACGCCGGCTGCGCTCGATTCGGATATAATGACGTCACGCGGCCTTGCGTACGTTGACTTTTAGCGGCAAAAACGGCCTATGTTTATTACTTAATATCTTCATAAGTAATGGTCCGATTTGGATAATTCAAAAAGATATATCTTTCTTATGTCTTAAAGATTAACGTAGATACTAGTTTTATTGAATTTTCTACAACAGTACTGATCCTCATTGGCAAGTTAATTGACTGTGAAGCAGAAGGTCCCAGCCGCAGTCACCTCGCCAGGTAGCTTACCGTCTTTCGTAATCCAACCGAAACTCTTTAAAACTTAAATCTGAGTTTATATCAATCTTACATTTCCTAAAATCAGTTGATGGATCCACCATAGTCCATAGCCGGGTAATGCAAGACTTCCAGTAATAATTACAATGGAAGGTAATATCTCGAACCACATTTTCTGCGCAACAAATTGGAGGTAATCTATTTCAATAAATTCTAATATTTTATTATTTTGTCTAATGGCTTCAATGGTGCGTATTTTTCAAATATTTTGGATAGATGTCTCACCGATTCTGATTTCAATCATTTGTCATTAGTTTGAGATTTCAAATGACATGGTTCGTTTATAGTCTAATAAAGACTTCTTGATTTACTGGCCTTTACTTTTTGTTAACATCATCATCATCACTTCAGCCATAACTAGCATAGGAAGGAAGTCCACTGCTGAACATAGGCTTACTCCAATGATTTCCACAAAGGCCGGTTGGTAGCGGCCTGCATCCAGCGCCTTCCTGGCTCCTGCTAACTTTATGAGGTCGTCGATCCACCAAGTGGGTGGACATACTACGCTGCGCTTTCCAGTACGTGGCTTCCACTCTCTTCCACTAAAGAACTTTGCTGCCCATCGGGCGTCAGTTATGCTCGGTGTTTCTTTACGGGATCGAATCAGCCCCCCAAGACAAAATGCACTTTTTGATCGAATCGAAAATCGAATCCGTCAAAACTCCATCCAAAAGACGACATTGTTTTCGACCACTTTTCGACTGGTTTATAATGTGCAAACGAAAGTCGGTGACATAGCCCAACGGATTAATAGCAAGCTGTGGGTCTAGAAAAGTGCACAATAAATTGCAAACCAGTCGAAAAGTTGTCGAAATTAGGTCGAAAGGCCTTTTTTTGTATGGAGTTTTGACGGATTCGATTTTCGATTCGATCAAAAAGTGCATTTTGTCTAGGGGGGCTGAAGTGGCAATGGTGGATAGGCATCTAGACACTGTTCGTGCGGAAATAGTACAGGCAAGCCTGAAATACCAGGAGGAACTAGAAAGAAACTCATGCTCATGCAAATGAACTCGCACAGGCCTTAGATAGAGAAGGTGGACAGTACAATCGACTAAAAAGACAAACAAGGCATTCCCAGTGTCGCCCAAAGATACTACATAACTAAAATTGTTAGTTAATGTATTGAATTCATTCTTTGGCACTTGTATTGTGTATTTTGGACATTAAAATAATTACGCAAAACAAAAAGACTAGTTTTATATAGTTGTTTTTTTTTAAATAATCACATCTCCAAAACCTACCATGTTTAGTTTATTATTTCATTACAGCAACACTAAATATCGAATCATCAAAAATGGCAGACGGCCCGATCGACTGTGATTTCCCCGTTTGGGGATTATTGCCGAAAAAAGAAACAGGAGTTGTCTCATTTTTAAATAAAAACCCAACTTATGATGGAAGGGACACCATTATCGCTATTTTGGACTCTGGTGTGGACCCAGCGGCATCTGGACTCAAGGTAAAAAATGTGTCTTGTCACGATTATTTAGTTGATTTTTTTGTTAGTTTATTCGAAATTAATGGTTATATTTATTGTTTTAGGTCACGCCCAGCGGGGAGACGAAGGTGATTGAGCGTTTTGACTGCAGTGGATGCGGAGATGTGGATACCAGTACGGTTATTAAAAAAGTTGTTGACGGCTGCATCACCGGCGTTACCGGCCGTAAACTGAAGGTATATCATTAAATTCTCGACTTTCCCACTTTTGAATTGGCTAGATAATATTATAATCCGACTCGCACGTAAGATTTCGCGTTATTCTTCATAGTTTCCTTGTCAGCTACTGAGACCAATAGGGTCATTGACTCTTGAACTGTCATGTGGTACAGCTGTTTTGTGTCATCAGCAGTCTTACATAAATTAAATAGGTATCTACCTAAAGGTCTAAACTGGATGATTATAGTAATGTGCTGGATCTTATTTAGGACCAGTCCCAGTGCAGACAAAAAATAGTATGTAATATTTGTAAATTTTTTGAAATATTTTAGCTGTAACAGTGTCTTACCTGCAGATGTGCTGAGCTGCTTATAATTGCATTTACTTAATATTTGATTGCTATCAATCATGTACCTAGTTTAAATCTGGGTTACATACACATTTTGATAGTATTAGCAATCCCTGTTGCTATACAATAGTATTAATACATGGATTATTACATAATTTCTGTGTAAAAACTAGTGACTCAACTTTATTGAATGTTATAACACAAATACATTGGAGTACAAGTACATGTTATCAGGGGAACCATTTTGGTGGCAATTTAACTGAGTACATTCTGTCATTTAACAGTTTTTTTAAGAATATGCAATCAGCCCAGTTTAATCAGATTTGATGTTGTTTCTTCGACTTTTGGGAGATTAAACATAATAAACGGATTTGATTTATTTTGTAATGATAGTGGTTAAATTTTATCAAAAGTTAAGTGGTTTACTTTTTACACTTAGTATATTTTTTTGGAGTCCTTTTAAATCGTTTGTTCCTGTTGAGTCACACCATTTTGTGTAACACTGTTACCCATTAGGTAAAAAAAATACCGATTAGTAACATTGTTTTTGCATTTGTTATCAATTTTGCCTATCAGATACCTGAATCATGGAAGAATCCAACTGGCACATGGCGAGTAGGCATACTGTACCCGTTCAGCTTATACCCGACGAAGCTGCGGGAGCGTGTGCAGGAACACCGCAAGGAGCACCTTTGGGACGTGGGCCATAAGCCTGCATTTGCAGAAGCCAACAAAAACTTGCAGGAATTTGAGGCTGAATTAAGTGAGTAAAAAAGAAGCACAGCTAAGTGTAACCCTATTTTAAACCTTATTGCTTTGCGAAAGTTTTGAAGATATTGAAAAGGTAATATTTCTTTGCTTTTTGTTAGTAAAGGTTGTTAATAGCTTAGTGAAAGATTTGAAGCAGGCCTATGTCAAAAAGAACACAAATTGGAATATACTGTAAACAATGTCCATACACTCCAGAAATTCGGAATAATTAACTGTACAAAGATAGGTAGTCTTTCAACCAACATGTAATGTCACTTTTCAATAAATTATTAAAGTACTAACATTGATATTCGCTATGTTTGTTATTAGCGCCGAAAGGCACGAACCTGAGCCAGGAAGACAAGCTGCTGAAGGAAGAATTGGAGGCGCGCGTGGAAGTGCTTCAGAATGCAGAGAAAAAGTACAATGACCTCGGACCTACTTATGACTGTGTACTGTTCCATGATGGCACAGTGTGGAGGTATGTGGTATTTGTAACTTGACAAATTGCTATTCTCTTGTTCTCACTGTAATGTAAAAAAGCGGCTACGATTCTGTTGCAAAATAACACCTAATACAAGAGGATTTAAAGAATATGATTTGTAGAATAAACTTCTGCTGTCTTATGTCTTTCCCAGTGTCTCAAACTACCTCCACACCAAGTTTCGTGTATGTATTTGTAAAGCAGGGTACTCATCTAGCCGTGTAGCATGTAATGTATCAGATACTGTATCAAGTGAGTACATAGGCACCGCAGCGAGCTGCTCGCGCGTGGTTCGCAGGGAGATCGCAGCGACCCGCCGAGTGGCGGTATCACTGCGAGCACAAAGGCGACTCGCTTTAGGATCCGGGAGCTCGCAGCTAGATACGCGATAACCGTAGACGAGCCGTACTCACTTGAAGGTTGGACACGTTACATGGTACGATACGTGCTACATGGCAGATGAGTACCCTGCCTAAGGTCAGCAGAGTTAGACTCTACGTTAAAACTTATGTCGCATACGCCCGCCTGTTACTTGCACCACTATACTCGGCGCAAATACTCATGGCAGGCGTGTTATAATAACACTCACACTGGTTATGAGTGAAGTCACACAGAGGCAGGCGTAGCGTTGTTTATAATACGTAATAATTAATAACATAGGCTCAAAAACTGAACTCCGAAAAACGTTACTTCGAAACTACTGAATATCGAATGTCCTTTGTCTGAGTAGTGTAGTGTCGAAGTAAAGTCATATCGATATTCAGTAGTGTCGGAGTAACGTAATGTCGAAGTAACGTTTCTCGGAGTTTACTTAGGTAGCCAGTAACATATTGGTGAGTATACATCTCTGCTTCAAAAACTACTTATGACCATCCCTGCCAGGAGTCTTTGCGTCGAGTATGCAGCTGTCGTTCGCGTGTCGACCGCTTTCCGCCGCGCGTGTTGCACGCTGTCGCGACACTACTGTGTTACTATTTTTCGATACAGACACGCGTGCGTGTGCCCGCACGGGTTTTAGCATAGGCCCTTACATTTCGTTCGTTTCAGCCAAATGACGTCCACTGCTGGACAACGGCCTCCCCCAAGGCTTTCCATAATGAACGGTCCTGCGCTGCCCGCATCCAGGCTCTTCCCGCGACCTTTACCAGATCGTCGGTCCACCTAGTAGGAGGCCTGCCCACGCTACGTCTACCAGCCCGTGGTCGCCACTTTCCTGCCCCAACGGCCATCGTCTCTACGAGTTATGTGCCCCGCCCACTGCCACTTGATTTTAGCAATTCTGTAAGCTATGTCGGTTACTTTGGTTCTCCTGCGGATCTCCTCATTTCTGATTCGATCACGCAGGGAAACTCCGATCATAGCCCGCTCCATCGCTCTTTGGGTGACCTTGAGCCTTCTTATGAGGCCCATAGTAAGCGACCACGTCTCAGATCCGTATAGCAACACACGTAGGCCCTTACATTTACATTTATAATATTAGTATATTTCGTCTGCAGAGCATGCATCGACACATCAGAGAGCGGCGAGCTGTCCTCAGGCCCGCTGCTGGGCGAGTACTCGGCGACCCACGAGCACGCGCAACTCACGCCGCTCGACGAGATGACGGTCTCCGTCAACGTGCACGACGCGGGCGCCACGCTCGAAGTGGTCGGCATGTGCTGTGAGTAGTACCAGGCCTGTTCATCTCCGCGAGTTTACATCGAAAGCAAAACACGCACGATGGTCCACCTATAACAGGATACTATTCGACAAGGCCTCACATACGAGCGAACATTGACTCACGCACACGTATTCTTGTGTATGATGGAAGAAAATAAAGAAAATGGTGTACTAATACTGTGCAGTATTTAACTGCCTAAATAATAATAAAAACACAGAATGTACTTTTTTAAGATGCCTCAAGACACTGAGAGGTAAATAAGTAGTTAATATTATTCATGATAATTCATGCTAAATCATGTATTTCCTCCGCCATTTTCCGCAGTTTGGCACCTCACGTCACATCAATTTACCGAAGTCAGCCCTATAGCTTCAGCGCAGTGCCGATCACTGACGTTTGTCAACAAAATGGTGCTTGACTCTTGAGACAGGCTAAATTACACCATATTGTTAATGACATTGAGCATACATTTTTTTAAATACCTTCGCGAAGTAAAACTTCTGTACGTAGTACTTATTATTATTCTGTGGTAGTACATACATCATCAGACATTTGAGAATAATTACAACGTGTATAATATTCGTGAAGATATAATAATTGTCGATATCTACACTACACCACCCGCAAGGTGGACCGACGACCTGTGATAAAGGTAGCAGGAAGGCGCTGGATGCAGGCCGCTACCAACCGTGCGATGTGTAAGTCATTGGGGGAGGCCTATGTTCAGCAGTGAACGTCCTGTGGCTAAAATGATGATGATGATTCCGATTGTCTTCGACTGCTGGACGATTGTTCACCAAAATCAAATTCAAATCACATTTAGCTAATCTGCCGGGCCAAGATGCGCGCTCGGATAAATCTTATCGATGTTTTAGATGACAAATGCATGGGCTTATCGCGTAAAAAAAATTGCGCGATAAAAGCGCCGTGGCGCGCATCCTAGACCTACTGGTCGATTATTATATGTAGGACTAACACGCTATCCCGCATATTCTATGAATGTACAAGATAACTGGTGCTCTCTGAGGTGTATCAAGGAAACGGGTTTAGCGTTCGACAGTATATTGACAACTGTCCGCGATCGGGCGGTGCATCGCCCGCGCATACATAAGTATAAGTACATATGTATAGATTGCTATAGACTACAGATATTACACTTTCCAATGAGGGTTTTCGCGTATGAAAAATCCGCCAGATGGCAATACGTAGACGCGAGGTCCAAATGCTGCATGATTGGTTATTTTTGACATGACATTGACAGATATGTCAAAATCCACCAATCACGCAGCAGTCAGACCCCACATCCACGTCCCGCCATCTAATGGATCTTTCATACGCGAAAACCATTACTTAAAAACTCATGAAGTCATTGCCTATCTTTCCAGCAACCCACGGCACGCACGTGGCCGCGATAGCAGCCGGTTATTTCCCTGACAGTCCTGAGCTCAACGGAGTAGCGCCGGGAGCCAAGATCGTCTCACTAACCATTGGAGACAGTCGCCTGGGTTCAATGGAGACTGGCGCGGCGTTAGTACGAGCCTGTATCAAGGTCATGGAGCTGTCCAAGACCATGAAGATCGACGTCATCAACATGAGCTACGGCGAGCACGCGCACTGGGCTAACGCTGGGTGAGTTGATAAACTTAAGCCAATAAGACAAGTGGCAGCTATAGTTCCAAAATACTGGACTGTCCTATCGATGACATTGACAGCGGGGCGCCACCGTCAATACCGGATCGCTGGTTCCGATTTTTGCCATGTTGGAAACCATATATTTGAACGATGGTAGCGCCCCCCTGTCATTGAGTTTGGTGGGACAGTTCAGCTTGGGTCATCTATAAAAGGAAATTGGACCCTAACGACATGGCGCTAAGAGCCAAGATCGTCTCATTGACCATTGGAGACAGTCGCCTGGGTTCCATGGAAACTGGAGCGGCGTTAGTGAGACCCTGCACCCAGGCTCTTCCCGCGACCTTCACTAGATCGTCGGTCCACCTAGTAGGAGGCCTGCCCACGCTACGTCATCCAGCCCGTGGTCGCCACTCGAGAACTTTTCTGCCCCAACAGCCATCGTCTCTACGAGCTAAGAGTTGGTAGACTAATCTAATGAGACAAGTGGCTGATAAGGGCCTTCGCTAAAATTCACCCGTGCGTTGTTTAGTATTATCATAGAAACGCGTGAGTTTTAGCGGAGGCCCTAAAAGGAATTGGGAATACAACTGAGCTGTAGCGCCAGGTGTTTAGATAGTGTCGCTAACCATCGGCGAAACTACGAGAGACAAGTGGCAGCTAAAGCCTGGTTCAGACACGCGCGATAACCGAGCGGTTTTTGGGTGGTTCTCAATGGCGAGATACTGAGGCGGTTACCTTACGGTTACGGTTTGATGCAAATGTACGAGAAATGCCCAGCAACGCGCGGTAACAGCTGTGTCTGAACCAGGCCTAAAGGAAAGGGGAATTCCATGGATTAGTAAGCGCCAAGATAGTGTCCATTGAATAGTTCGAAATCTCAAACAATATCAAGACAAATATTCATTTTTGATCTGTCTGATAGTCTGGTGTTGAGCACGTAGAATTTTGTCCAATGACCCCAAGCTACCCATCCTTATCGCTCGCGCGTAATTATGTTGCTCGCACATTCACTGCGGGCCCGTCGCACAGTCGCGACAACAATATAATTACGCGAGAGCGATAAGGATGGGTAGCTTGGGGTCATTGGACAAAATTCTACGTGCTCACAGACCGGGCTTTAATAATAATAATAATGACCGCCATGTGGGATGTTGACTCGACGATCATTGTCCCGATAGTTGTCTCGGCAAACGGGCTAATAGCGAAGAGCTTCGACCAACATCTAAAGAAGCTTTCGCTAGATGGTTGGCTCAAGGGTCAGATTCAAAAGGCGGTGATCCTCAGCACGGCACGCATTGTCCGGAGGTTCCTCAGCCTGTGACCCTGACCACCGGTAGCTTGGGCCCTGCTCCGCTGCCAGCGGGTTAACTATTTTTAAGATTTTTGTTTTTTAATGTATTTTTATTTTTTGATAATTACATTGTAAAAAGAAAAAAATAAAAATAAGAAAGAAAAATTAATAAAGAAGATAATAATAATAATGAATTTTTCTTGTTCGCAGCCGAGTAGGCGACATAATTTGCTCGGTGGTGAACCGGTACGGCGTGTCGTGGGTGGTCTCCGCCGGCAACCACGGGCCGGCGCTATGCACCGTCGGCGCGCCGCCTGACATCGCTCAACCCATTCTCATTGGTAAGTCAGTAAAAGTATTGGTTCCCAAACTTATTTCAGACGCGCCCCCTTTCGATCATACAAAAACATCGTTTATTTATTGGTATATTGAGGAATATTGCGAATGCCCCGTGGTTCACGAGGAATGATGAAATACACGAGTACTTGAACATTGAAACCGTGGCCACAGAAATAGAGCGATACAAGAAACTGCACATCGAACGTCTTACTCATCACCCCAATCCACTCGCCTATGGATTACTGGAGAATGACAACGTGGTTAAAAGGCTAAAAAGAAACCACGTAATTTAAGAAGACAGCTTAGGCATAGGCCAGCTGCTCCTTAACAATAAAATGACACTCAACATATCTGATTATAGTCTGGCGACTGAATGCAAAAATCATTATCACAAAAAAAATATTGGTCGTATCGAGCAGTCTAGAATGTATTCTCTCAGCGGTCGCAGGTTTTTTATACTTAAGTACACAGATAGCTCGCGCCCGCCACTTTTTGAACCAATGGTCTAAAGCTTCAACCACACCAAATCGCCATCGCCGGCGGGATCATAAGCCAATGACAGGTCGCGCGACCCATGACAGTTCACGCGACCTGTCATTGGCCTATGATCGCGCCGGCGATGGCGATCTGCAGGCGTTGGTGTGGTTGAAGCTTAAGTCCAAGTAAAAATCTTAGCTGTAAAGTGGTAGCCATTTGTAGTTTTCTGAAAAGTCTGAAGATTGGTTAAATGCTTGAGGAAAGACAACATGCTGCGATGTTCTAAGCAGGTGAAGAGAGGTGATCGACTCACGATTTTTGTAGTTAACGTAAGAAAGTGATTCTGAAGATAGCGTCGTGTGTGAATGGAGCGTGAGTATGTGGTATCGTGAGCGCCGGCCGGCGTGACTTATCATACGAGTTAATGCACGTTTGTTTCGAGTTGTAAAGTGTCTTGATAAGAGGAGTACGGCTTTATCGTTTATGGATTCTTTTGTCTGCCTCATTATCATTATTATCATCATAATCTCAGCCAAGGACGTCCACTGCTGAACATAGGCCTCCCCCAATGCTTTTCATGTTGCCCGGTTGGTAGCGGCCTGCGTCCAGCGCCTTCCTGCTACCTTTATGATGTCGTCGGTCCACCTTGTGAGTGGACGTCCCACGCTGCGTTTTCCGGTACGCGGCCTCCACTCCAGAACCTTGCTGCCCCACCGGCCGTCAGTTCTGCGTACTATGTGCCCTGTCCTCAGATCATAGAAAGAGAATAGATATGAAGTCGCGCGTAACTACAACGAGAACCAGTGTCCCCACATTTCCCCCACCACAGCTCCCACACACACATTCAACTGTGTAAAAACAAAGCGACTGAGAGTCTACGACAACATGTGCAACCGGCTTAAAAGTGCTGTGATTGGCCAGAAGGCGTGCCTTATGGCCAATCAATGGCCGCGTGACGTGACGCACACTTTGAAAAAAGCAATTAGAGAGAAGAAAGATAATATGGAGTCGATAAGATATCGATACTTTAAATCCTGGGGGCAAGGCTCGAAATTGGTTAAAAAATTGCTTGTATGAAAACCTTTTTATTATTATATGTTATTATTATGTTCTTTAACGATTTTTGCATAAAGGAGTCAGTTCCATTTTGTATGGACGAAAACTCAGAATCAATTATTGGGACTAAATGAAGTTACCTTATATTAATTTACCCCAACCAAAGCTCAATGTCGTTATCGATGGAGTATAGAAGTTATAGACTGACAAAGTTTGTATGAAAAGTCATGGGTTAAGTAGGTACTTGCGATTTTTACCAGTATTTACAATATTGGTAATATATTATTATTTACTTTAATAATAATAACAGGATCACTGTAATTATTATTAACTACTATCGCGCATTAACTTTTTAATTATGGCGAAATTCGTACCGCCTATGTTTATCAAAAATAATGCCTATATTAGGCTTTCAACTAGCTCTTATAGTAATTACATAGTTGACAGTTACTAATCCCTTCTACTATTGTTATTGTTTTTGTAAAAACTTAAAAATCGCAAGCAACTCATGATTTTTTCATTCAAAATTAGAAAATAGAAAATAATAATTTACTTCTATTTATCGATAATAGGAAACCGTATTAGAACACGAGCCCTGCACTATGTTACGACCGGCACATGCGGCCGTACTGTGTATTTTCACGCGTCAGTGGATATCGGAAGAAATAAAATACATTGCGCAGTAGTTACGCATGACATAAAGTGGTTGCTAACTAAATCGTCAATGTACAACGTGTTTGAATTTTTATCACCACTAATTTCGATATCGCAGTAAATGTCACGGCACTGAATTCGTTCGTAAAAATGTTTAGTTTTTTTTATTTATAAGCAAAATACCAATGGATTTGCAATACTTACATGTGGTAAATGACTTCATTGTTCCTGTAGTTCTTCGTTTCACTTATGTTATTGCACGTTACGACGCATTATCCAACAATATCGGAGAACATTTCCTCAGTACGATTGAATCGCGACTAACCTGGCGTCGCGGGCGATGTTCGTTTCTGGGCATATCGCGGAGACATGCGCCACGCCCCCGTTTCACATCTATTCCCTTCTATGATCTGAGGCCCTGTCCATTGCCACTTCAGCATGTCGGGCTATGTCAACGACTTTAGTTCGTTTACGGATCTCCTCATTTCTGATTCGATCTCGTAAAGAAACACCGAGCATAGCTCTCTCCATAGCACACTGCAACTTTGAGCTTCTGTATTTGTTTGCCTAAAACCAGTTTATTTGTCTAAAACTAGTTGTTTTGTCGGCCGTTTGGTGTAGTGGTTCGAAACGGACTACTATTCCGGAGGTAGCGGGTTCGATTCCCGCACAGTACAAACATTTGTGTGCATGAACATATTTGTTTATACTGGACTGGGTGGTTTCTATGTATAATAAGTATGTATTTACAAAAAAAAAAGTATTTAAGTATGTTTATATCCGTTGTCTAGTACCCATAGTACAAGCTTTGCTTAGTTTGGGACTAGAAGCGCAGTGTAAAATGTCTAAGGATATTTATTTTCAACCGACTTCAAAAAAGGAGGAGGTTCTCAATTCGACCCGTATGTTTTTTTTCTATGTTTGTTACGCGATAACTCCGCCAATTATGAACCGATTTGAACAAATCTTTTTTCGGCGTATAGGTAATACCTCAAGGGTGGTCCCATTTAAATTTAATAATAGAAAAAACAACCCCCAAGGGTGGAAAATTGGGGATGAACTTTTTTATACGCAATATCTCCGCCGATTATGAACCAATTTGAACGATTATTTTTTTGTTGAATAGGTATTATCAAAAGGGTGGTTTCATGCGAATAAGAAAATATTTCACCCCCAAGGGAAAAACTTTAGGGGTGTACCCTTTTCTCTGCGAAATCTTCGCCGATTATGAACCGATTTAAACGATTCTTTTTTTGTTGCGTAAATAATCACAAGGGTGGTCCCATGTGAATTTGAAGTTGTTTTTTTTTTTTAAAGTTATATTATTATTATTTATGTTCCTAAAATTTTCACAGGTGTGGGAGCTTATGTGTCCCCTGAAATGATGTCAGCAGCGTATTCCATGCGGACGAAGCTAAACGGTGGAGCCTTCAGCTGGAGTTCGCGCGGGCCCGCGTGTGACGGCGCGCGCGGCGTTAGCGTCACCGCGCCCGGCGGCGCCGTCACCTCCGTTGCGAGGTAAGGAGTCATGCCTTCGGTGACGTCACACTCCAAACCTGCGGCGGCTGCGGCGCCGTAATTTGTAACTCGCGTCGACCGACGGCCGTCAGGGTTGACAGCAATCCGAATGTTAAAAAGACGCCATTCTTGTGGCGGAGTTTTGGATCGTCGCTGTGTAGGTTTGTTGTCGACACGACAAGAAAAAGAAGAAGAATAGACGCCCATAATAAACGATCCACAAAGCTCAAACCCCGCGCGGCACGTTTAAAATGGATCGTGTGCCTAAAAGCATCGCGCCATGGGAGTGCACTGAATCCAGCAGCAAGGAGAAGTAGCTAATTTTGTGCATTAAATTTTTAGGAAGGAATCGAATAACTTACGGAATAAAAATTGTATTTGTAAATTCTGTTTACAGGTTCACATTGAGAAATTCGCAACTTATGAATGGTACTTCAATGGCAGCACCACACGTCGCCGGTGTAGTAGGTAAGAGATATTTTAATATCGAATTCAATTTCTTTACCGACCCTGTGAGCACTTTCACATTTAGGTGATTTAGCAACGCGGCAAACGCGCGGCAGACGCGCTGCCGAAAATGTAATACTATGTGACAGCTGATGCATGCTTTCACATTATAAAAACGCCGCTGCCGCGCTTCAGTCGCGCTTCTAACGCCCTAATGCTCTAAAGCCTGGTCCGTGAGCACGTAGAATCCCGTATAATGACCCCAAGCTACCCATCCTTATCGCTCGCGCGTAATTATATTGCTGTCGCGACTGTGCGACGCGCGTCCGCAGTGAGTGTGCGAGCGCGACAGCAACATAATTACGTGTGAGCGACAAGGATGGGCAGCTTGGGGTCATTGGACGGGATTCTACGTGCTCAAGGACCAGGCTTTATATCTAAAGTTCCTAAAAATATTAATGATGTTTTTCTCTCCCAGCGGCCCTGATATCGGGTCTCAAGCAGAAGAGTCTGCCCTATTCGCCGTACTCAATCAAGCGGGCGCTGGAGAACGGCGCCAGCTACCTGGCGCACGTGGAACCCTGGGCGCAGGGTTGCGGCCTTGTTAATATTGAAAAGGTAACGCAGTTTGGGGAGGGTTATGTTCAGCATTGTATGTCCTATGGCTGAAATGATGTTGATGATACGAATGGCATATATTTTAATATTGTACCTACTCAACACTGTATTATTGTTATATGTAAAGTTATATGTCGTTGGTGTATCTTTTTCAATAAATAAATAAATAAATAAATGTGACTCAGCTGGTACGTAAACGCTCGGAGAGTTTAAGGCTAAGAACTGACGACGCGATTTTCACCCCCGCCCGCGGCGGTTGTGGAATTGCGGTTTTATTTCAAAACTCAGGGGACCGGTTATTTGCGACGTATGCGGCGCGAATGACCAGTTTGACACGATCGTTTTAGTTCTTTGATTGAGACCTTTGTCCAGCAGTGAATATCATTTGGCCGAAACGAATGAAATTGTTATCTTACATTTACTGCATTACCTTGATTTTTCAACCGACTTCAAAAAAGGAGGAGGTTCTCAATTCGACCCGTATGTTTTTTTTTTCTATGTTTGTTACGCGATAACTCCGCCAATTATGAACAGAGTTGAACAAATCTTTTTTCGGCGTATAGGTAATACCTCAAGGGTGGTCCCATTTAAATTTGATAATAGAAAAAACAACCCCCAAGGGTGGAAAATTGGGGATGAACTTTTTTATACGCAATATTTTTAATTTTTAGTTTTTTTTTGTGTTCACGCATTTGAAGTCGGTTTTATTTTTAAAAAAAGTTAATTATCTAAATAAAATATGTCCTCCACAGTCGTTCGAGCTCCTCTCGACCTACCACGACGCACCAGAGCGCGACGTGACTTTCGGCATAACAATAGGAGCGCACGGCGGCAAAGGCGTGCTACTGCGGCCCAAGCCCGGCGACCACGCGCGCGACCTTGGCATCTCCGTTGAACCACACTTCGCGGAGAACCACGCCGACGAGACCAGTGAGCAACCACCTTTATATTACGTCGTAAAAAGCTTTTAAAGCCCGCTCTGTAAGCACGTAGAATTTTGTCCAATGACCCCTAGCTACCCATCCTTATCGCTCGCGCGTAATTATATTGCTGTCGCGACTGTGCGACGGGCGCCCGCAGTGAGTGTGCGAGCGCGATAGCAACATAATTACGCGCGAGCGATAAGGATGGGTAGCTTGGGGTCATTGGACAAAATTCTACGTGCTCACAGACCAGACTATAGACTAAGAGGTAGTGAACGCCAGACCTACGTAATTTTATAAAAGCTGAAAGTTTGTCAGCGTATGCTCCCAATATAGGTTAGAATGTTGGTGAATCATGAAGTTTGGGTCATCGTGGCTTTGGCAGCTAGCCTAAAAAAACTGTCTGGCAAAGAGTTGGAACTGTAAAAACTGTCTGGCTGATAAGGAAACTACTTCTTATTATTGACCTAATATTTTATATAAAAATCAGCTTTTATGGTATAACGTCAGCCTAACTTTTACGGTGGCTTTTTAGGGTTCCGTAGCCAAATGGCAAAAAACGGAACCCTTATTATGTATATTCAATAGACTGTTATTCTACTTACGTTATACCAAAAAATCTGATTTTTATGTACAATATTTGGGCAATGATTAGAAGTTGTTTCCACATCAGCCAGACAGTTTTGACAGTTCCAACTCCTTGCCAGACAGTTTTTTAGGATAGCTTTCAAAGCCACGATGACCCAAACTTCATGATTCACCAACATTCTATCCTATATTGGGAGCATACGGTGACAAACTTTCAGCTTTTATAAAATGACGTACAGTATCCGGCAATAAATATTGCACATCGACCTTTGGAAAGAGAATCGGTTAATTTCGGCTCGTAGAGCGTTATCTCTGTCGCACACTACCTACATGATTGACAAAACGTCATTGACAAAACATTATTCAATGAAAATATTGTCCGAACCCTTTGTATTTCTCTTCGACAAATACTTTAACACATTGTGAACTACTTTTCTTTCACGACTATAAAAAGTTTTTAGCAATTTTATTCACAAAATCAATTGCACACATTTTAAATAAAGTTGTTTACACTTCGACAAAACGTTATTGTCAGTCCTTGTTCAAGTGCGACAGTGATAACGCTCTACGAAACCGAAATAAGCCGATTGTCTCTTTCTAGAGGTCGATGTGCAATATTTATCGCCGGGTATTGTAGGTCTGGCGTTCACCAGCTCTTAGTCTAAAGCCTGGTCCGTGAGCACGTAGAATTTTGTCCAATGACCCCAGGCTACCCATCCTTATCGCTCGCGCGTAATTATAATTGCTGTCGCGACTGTGCGACGGGCGCCCGCAGTGAGTGTGCGAACGCGACAGCAACATAATTACGCGCGAGCTATAAGGATGGGTAGCTAGGGGTCATTGGACAAAATTCTACGTGCTCACGGACCAGGCTTTAGATCGTTTAGTCCACGAAGACGCGCCCCACCATTCTTCCGCTAATGTTTGAGTCTTATCGGTACACATTAAAATCATCCATGAGTGCACACGCACACTACAAAATGACGCTCGGATAGCTCGGATCAAACTCCCCGCACCCCGCGCTTCCCTCGACCAAAAATTGGTGAGGTGCGTCTTCGAGGATGAAACGATCGGAACGGTCAGTGGGCAACGTGAGATTCTCCCCGCTAAAAGGGCCGAAGGTGTCCTCCTCCAATGAAATGGAGTCGCGAGTTATTGTCCTATAGTTCCAAAATACTGAACTGTCATATGCATGACATTGACAGTGGGGCGCCACCGTCAATACCGGATCGCTAGCTCCGATTTTTGCCATGTTGGAAACCATATAGTTGAACGTTGGTAGCGCCCCCCTGTCATTGAGTTTGGCGGGACAGTTCAGCGTGGGTCACCTATAACTTAGACGTTGTGCATAGACAACAGTGAACAAGCCCTATTGAACATTGGAATGGACTGAATTCTTTTGTCAACGACCAATTTCGTTTCTCTTTTGTTATTTTTCTCTCACGATTTGTTTAACTTTTTTTGAAGGGACAGGTTGGCGCCATCATTATTTGAGCTACTTTCTGACAAATATTTTTTTGGTTTATAGGCTGTTCCAAGAAATCAAGTTGTTTTAAGATTGAAAAAATACCTTGTACTTATGGTATGAATATGTTTTATTCATGTTACAGTTACAATACATCACATTGTATCACTTGGTTTCATTAATAAGAATAGAATAAATATTGTTAGCAATATTTACCAATTAATCATTAGTCAAGTATATTTTAGTAAAGTATTGTGTAGAATTACATGGAAATAATGCATTGCAGATTTTTCTTTTGCTCAGTTTACTCGTATATATTTTTTTGCAATAATGAAAGTAAGTACCCAATAGTGTTGTTGGATTAAATCGATCTTTATGTAGAACATTGTGTGTTATGCTCATTACTTAGAGACGTTATTCAAAACTATAGTAATTTCTGTCACTCCCAAAATGTATTACGTGCGGGGTAGATCCTCACTTACTGACAGCAAGAAGACAAGCTAAACAGGTGTGTCGTTCCAGACACATCGCTGATCCCGAAGCAGATCGAGTTTGGGCTGCGACTAGTGCTGACCTGTGACGCGCCGTGGGTGTCGCTACCGGCTTATTTGGATATGAGCAACACGTCGCGACCTTTCGCTGTCAGAGTGGATACGACAGCGTTGCCGCATGGAGCTCATTATACCAGGTAAATGGATTATGCCCAGCCGAGCTAGGATGCGTGTCGCGATAAAATGTTATAGATTTTAGATGACAAGTGTATGGGTTTATCGCGTAAAATCGATAAAATGGCGCGATAAAAGCTTATTGCTGCGCGTTACTTACTGATCACGTACAAATACAATTATAGTTTTCAAAACAGTGCCACTACGGTTGTAAAAAGAATACGATTACTTCACGATCATGAAAGTATTCGTGCTCAGAGGCTCAAAGCACTGTAGTCGTGTGGGATTAACAGTAATTAAGATGAGGTGACGCCTAGCCTATTTTCATGTGAAAATTATGCGTTTTTATATCAACAAGACGTGCTGTCGACTCATGCTACAGTTAAGTTGGCGAGAACTAAAACTTCACAGAGAGCTTAATATTTTTATTGCTCCCAAAATGTTTATACGTCAATTGTGTTAGCTGCAACCGGAGGTTCCAAGAAAAAGCAAACTTTATTTAATTAAATTTAATTTAAAAGAAAGAAATTACAATTAAATTAAAATTAGCCTAGCCTAGTGACACCGTCTCGAAGTATGAAACGAATATGATTATAAAATAATTAGTAAAATTAATGAAACGTCGCCGCTGTCGTCATGAGAGGCGCATTTTGCTGATGCTGCTCCTCGCGGTCCATAGTGCAGTTTCAATGTTGATTTGGGTAAACTGGGTCATCGTCGATGCAGCGATCTTCATAGATTAGGCGTACGTAACACGTCGACACACACGTATCATCGTGTCATTTAGTCTGCACTTCAAGTTTTTACCTGAGGCAAATATAGGATTTGGTCCACACTCCTTGAGGTGGCCAGATAGGTTGGGTAGACATTAGGTTAGCATATTCATACTTTATGACATACAAGGGAAAAGTGGGGCCTTTTATGCCAATAAATGATCAAAATAAATAATTCCCTTTTCCAGTATAAACGCATACGACGCGTCGTGCACAGAGAAAGGCCCGGTGTTTCGCGTGCCGATCACAGTGCTACAGCCGCAGCCGCTGAGTTACACCGCCTCCGCGCCCGACCTGGCCGTCTCTGACGAGCTGTTCCGACCTGCTGCCATCAAGAGGCACTTTGTGATCGGTGAGCATATCCTCGTTTCAACTAGACTACTGCAAGACAAAGATTTTGCCCAAGGATTCCCAATCAAAAGATTGAAAGACAAAGGTCTTCCCCTAAATATTTCCATTCGGTCTTCCGCTGCCCCTATCCAGGCACTTCTCGCGACCAGGCCAGACATAGCTCTTACAATGATGGGCTTATAGAACCTACAAGCGTTATGCCCCGCCCATTACCACTTGCTAGCGCCACCTTGGTTGAACATGTAATATTACCTATTGTTAAGTTTTGTTTCCACATCATTTCTGACTCTAAGGGCCTTGACACACTAGCGGATTGCAAGCGGAGCAGCGGGCATACCGCGGTCGACAAAATGCTTTCAAAAAGCCGCGCCTCGCCGCCGCTCCGCGTTGAAACCGCTTGTAATCCGCCAGTGTGGCAAGCCCCTTAGAGTCAGGAATGATGTGGAAACAAAACTTAGGAATGGGTGACATTACATGTTCAACCAATAGGTGGCGCTAACAAGTGGTAATAGGCGGGGCATATAGCTTGTAGAATAATTCTATAAGCCCATCATTCTAAGAGCTATGTGTCTGGCCTTAAAGCCGTATTTATTTCGGGATCTAAAATAAATCTCAACATACCATGCTCATTGATCAGTCTCTCCTTACCAATGATACGACGTATCTGAAAAGTAAGCATCTGAAGGTGTCCACAGTGCCTCCGGACGCCACGTGGGGCGTGCTCAAGATGTGGACCAGGGAGCAGGACAAGACGGGCCGCTTCCTCGTGCACGCCATGCAGATTCTGCCGCGCCGGTCCTGCCGCTGCCACGAGACGCAGAAGATGCTAAACGTTACCACCGACGCGCCCACCGTGCTGCCCTTCCAAGTCATGGTGAGTTGCCATTATAACATTTTAAACTTTCGCGTTCAATTTCGACTTAACACATTGATGGACAGTAATGTCCACAGGCGTTCAGGTAGTAAAGGATGATATGACAGAACGCCTATATAAACGTCATAGTTTTTACTCATTTTACATTGACACTACTCACCTCACATAGGCAATGTATGTGAATAAGTGTCGTATTGGGAAGATATTCATAACCTGTACTGTCCAACAAAGTGTTAAGTAGTGTTGGCCGTTTGGTGTAGTGGTTCAAAACGGACTACTATGCCGAGAGGTCCCGGGTTCGATTCCCGGCCGGGCAGAAATTAAAATGATGAATTTTAATTTCTGTGACGGGCCTGGGTGTGACTATGTATAATATTTATGTATTTAAAAAAAAAGTATATAATTAGTATATTCGTTAAGCTAGCACTCATAACACAAGCATTAAGTTGCTTACTTTGGGGCTAGCTGGCGCTGTGTGAAATTGTCCAAAGATTTATTTATTATTATTAAATAGAAAGACACGGGTCTTTCTATTTTAACTGTCATTATTGTTAGCAATGGTAAAGCCCGGTCTGTGAGCACGTTGAATTTTGTCCAATGACCCCAAATTACCCATCCTTATCGCTCGCGCGTAATTATATTGCTGTCGCGACTGTGCGACGCGCGCCCGCAGTGAGTGTGCGAGCGCGACAGCAACATAATTACGCGCGAGCCATAAGGATGGGTAGAATCAGAATCAGAATCATCATTTATTTGCTTTAAATGTGGTACAGAAGATGGATACAGTAAATGGATAGCTTGGGGTCATTGGACAAAATTTTACGTGCTCGCAGACCAGACTAGTCATTCTACCATTTTCTTAATTCACTGATCATCTGATGCAGGTTGACGCGATTACACAATGCATATTACAGTTGTTACCAATTTATCATAGCGGACGCCCTATAATCATTTATAACTTTGAATGTGTTAAAATAATTGTTTTTTTTTTAATTTTATGACGTGTCCTCTTAAGAACAAAACTTTCTGGCCAGTGAATATAATTTAAAAGTGGCTATTTCTTCCTCCCAGGGCGGCGCGCCGCTTGAAATAGCCATCGCGAAGTACTGGGCGAACATCGGCGAGGTGACCGTGTCCTACGAGGTGGAGTTCCACGGCGTCAAGCCCGACTGCGGCCCGCGCCTCGTGCTCGCGGCCGCCGACGGCATGCGAGCGGTTACCCTGCGCGCGCGCCGGCTACACGACTTGCAGCCACATGCGGTGTTGAAGTATGCTGAGCCGGTTTATAGGTGAGTCTATAACATGTGAGTCATGCCTATTTTCACTATCAATCCCTAATTTTTAAGTAACCCATATGGTAACACACAACAAGAATTTTGCTTTCATAGGGATCACTTAAAAATTAGGGATTGATGGTGAAAACGAGCTTCAGACTACTATACTACTGTTTCTCATTATCACCGCACCTCGTGTGAGCGCCGCCGACGGCATGCGAGCGGTCACGCTGCGCGCGCGCCGGCTACACGATCTACAGCCACATGCCGTGCTGAAGTATGCTGAGCCGGTTTATAGGTGAGTCCAAACAGACTAGTATTATTTACTGTTCGTTATAAGGCAAAACTACAGGAAAGCGTTCAATGCGTTAGACAGTATGCCCGCGGTCACGCTGCGCGCGCGCCGCTTACACGATCTACAGCCGCATGCCGTGCTGAAGTATGCTGAGCCGGTTTATAGGTGAGTCTATAACATGTGAGTCATGCCTATTTTCACTATCAATCCCTAATTTTTAAGTAACCCATATGGTAACACACAACAAGAATTTAGCTTTCATAGGGATCACTTAAAAATTAGGCATTGATGGTGAAAACGGGCTTCAGACTACTATACTACTGTTTCTCATTATCACCGCACCTCGTGTGAGCGCGGCGGATGGCATGCGAGCTGTTACATTGCGCGCTCGCCGGCTGCACGATCTACAGCCACATGCGGTGCTGAAATATGCTGAGGCTGGCTGAGCCCGTCTACAGGTGAGTCACCCTATTATACTAACTGCTCGTCATCAGCTGCGTCCACACTGGGCGCATTGGTTCAGAGTCAAGAGAGATAAGGATGGGTAGCTTAGGGTCATTGGACAAAATTCTACGTGCTCACGGACCGGGCTTTATTAATAGGGTAAACGCTTCTACATACTTGTCATCATCACCGCGCCTCGTGCTCGCGGCTGCCGACGGCATGCGAGCGGTCACACTGCGCGCGCGCCGGCTACACGACTTGCAGCCGCATGCCGTGCTGAAGTATGCTGAGCCAGTTTACAGGTGAGTAACTATTATACTAAAGCCCGGTCTGTGAGCACGTAGCATTTCGTCCAATGACCCCAAGCTACCCATCCTTATCGCTCGCGCGTAGGTAATTGATGTCGCGACTGTGCGACTGGCACCCGCAGTGAGTGTGCGAGCGCGACAGCAACATAATTACGCGCGAGCGATAAGGATGGGTAGCTTGGGGTCATTGGACAAAATTCTACGTGCTCACGGACCAGACTATACTCGTCGCATTATAATCGCACCTCGTGTGAGCGCCGTCGACGGCATGCGAGCGGTCACGCTGCGCGCGCGCCGGCTACACGATCTACAGCCGCATGCCGTGCTGAAGTATGCTGAGCCGGTTTATAGGTGAGTCTAAAACTAGTATCATATTAGCTCTCACAGTTACTGCGGGCGCCCATCGCACAGTCGCGACAGCAATATAATTACGCGCGAGCGATAAGGATGGGTTGCTTGGGGTCATTGGACAAAATTCTATGTGCTCACGGACCGGGCTTTAGTAATAGAGTAAACACTTCTACATACTTGTCATCATCACCGCGCCTCGTGCTCGCGGCTGCCGACGGCATGCGAGCGGTCACGCTGCGCGCGCGCCGGCTACACGATCTACAGCCGCATGTTGTGTTGAAGTATGCTGAACCCGTTTATAGGTGAGTCTGCTTATTATACTACTACTCGGCATTATGATCGCACCTCGTGTGAGCGCGGCGGACGGCATGCGAGCGGTTACCCTGCGCGCGCGCGTAATTATGTTGCTGTCGCGCTCGCACACTCACTGCGGCCGCCCATCGCACAGTCGCGACAGTAATATAATTACGCGCGAGCGATAAGGATGGGTAGTTTGGGGTCATTGGACAAAATTCTACGTGCTCACAGACCGGGCTTTAGTAATAGAGTAAGTAAACGCTTTTACATACTTGTCATCATCACCGCGCCTCGTGGTAACTGTCGCGTATGGCATGCAAGCGGTCACGCTGCGCGCGCGCAGGTTGCACGATCTTCAGCCGCATGCGTTGCTGAAGTATGCTGAGCTGGTTTATAGGTGAGTCTAAAACTAAGTCTAATGCCCATTTTCACCATCATTTCCTAATTTTTAAGTGAACCCTATGAAAACAAAATGCCTGTTCTGAGGTTAGGATGTGTTACCATAGGGGTGACTTATAAATTAGGGATTGATGGTGAAAACGGGCATAAAAGTATTATTAGTAGAGTAGACAATAAATAGAGTAAACAATCTTCGCTGTCGTAGTGGGATGTCCTGTGATGACAGTGAAGTGTTGTTGTTGAAAAAAAAATATACAGGGTGTTAGGTAAATGGGTATATGAGCCGGCACTTTTGAATATATTTATTTAGTGCCGTGCTAATTTTAAAAGCGTAAAAATCTGGACAACTTGGATTGACCAGTCCCCGAAGGCAGCGCCTGTTCACAGACATGACGTGTGAACCAGCCATCGCTTCACTCGACCATATTATAGGGAATGTAACGACCCGCCTCACACGCCACTACCCCAGAGACATCAATTATCTGACTTCACCATACCATTTATATGACCATGTTAACATGGGCTAGTGTAGGCTCATATACCCATTTACCTAACACCCTGTATACTGCTACTTGTCATCGTTAGATTCAACTGTAGGAGATCATACAGCGCCGCGGATGGCATGCATGTTTAGACCCGACGTCGGTACAGAAAAGTTCTTCAAGTAGCGACTACGGATTGGAAAGCGAAGTGTAGGTAGGCCTCCCACTCCGAGGAGCGACGATCTTTGATGGTCGTTATGGAAATACTTGAGAGCAGACCTTTGTCGTCTTTTGGTTAAAAATTATATGCTAACCAGACGGGCTAGTGAAGTCTGATGTTTACTCGGTCCCTTAAACACCTTTACAGTATTCATGGGAAGAGTAAGAGAGATCCTATTCTCTTCTGGAATCATACTGACCCTATTATACGAATCTAGGCTAAGTTTTTGTACCGTAACAGATTTGATTCTTAGGGCTGATTTTTCATTCGTCAGATATTTTTTAACTGAAGAATAACATTGTCATTTTGACATATTTCCCGTACTAAAACTGTCAATGTGCCAAACTTATTCTTCAGTTAAAAGTTATCCGACGATTGAAAAATCAGCCCTTATTCTAATTTTATTTTCGACAGGCCAGCAGAGTCAAAAATCACCCCATTGACGGCGCGGGACGTAATCCCGCCCAGCCGCCAGATATACCAGCTCATCAACACATACAACTTCCACGTGCCTAAGGCGGCAGAGGTCAGTCTTAAATAATAATAATAAATAATAAAAGTTTATTTAACAACTTTAACATTTTACATTGCTTACATTGCATTGTTGTACATACATTTCCTTAAAGACCCGTTTAATGCTAAGGTTGTACCGACATACGCTTCAGTTCAGTTATACTTATGTTATTTCTATAATCAAGGAGAAGGTCTCCTATAAACGCGCTAGACCGCCTACAACGTCTAGCCTTTGGCTGCGTCACAATACTTACCATAAAGATGTACTGTTATGGTCTCCTTCAGCCTTTGACGTTGGCGTATGGCATCCATGGAGACCCTACGGTCTCCTATTAAACGCTGTATTCATCATTTTAATTATTTATCTTGTGTTAGTGAACTTTAATTACTAAGTTATGACTAGTTGGCGCCACTGGCGAGTGATTTTATTATACAGTAGCGCCATCTTGGTGAGTGTAAAATGCGGTAGACCTTTGCTTCAAAGTTTACCAGTTGGCGTCACTGTCTTACGCGTTCATAAGTGCCACTTGTGGTCTAAACTGAATAAATATTTTTGATTTTGATTTTTTGATTTTGATTTTTTAGCGAGTGACAAGACTTTACACTGCAGTGGTGCTAATTGGTCAGCGCAAATATGGCAGCTCTCATTCTTTTTGTGAATTGTAGTGTATATAATTTCATTTCGATACCCATTAACATTGTAACTTAAGTTACACGTTTGTTTAACTTTCAAGTTTCAACAGACAATTTAAGTGTAGTTATGAATTAGACTTCGTCATAAAGTTGTGTAACCGTGTAACTAAGTTACAAATGTTATTTATGGGTGTCGATTTATAACCACGTATTTAGGAACAAAGAAAACTCACAAAAAGGTAATAACAATTGATTGATGTATTTACCTACTTCAGGTGTCGCCGATCGTGTCTCTGCTGTGCGACATGCTGTACGAGTCGGAGTTCGAGGCGCAGATGTGGATGCTGTACAACAGCGCCAAGCAGCTTATGGCTGTCGGCGACGCATACCCCTCCAAGGTCAGCCCTGAAATAAGTTCAAAAACTTTAAAAAATAATGTTATGTGAGATGTATAGACGATGACGTGTTATAATATTTCTGTCGCGCTCGCACACTCACTGCGAGCGCGCGTCGCACAGTCGCGACAGCAATATAACTACGCGCGAGCGATAAGGATTGGTAGCTTGGGGTCATTGGACAAAATTCTACGTGCTCGCGGACCAGGCTTTAAATGATTGCATTTTTGGATAGATTCAGTTTATTCTTGTTATTTGAGTGATGATCTAGATCTAAGCATAAGTTACTTTCTTTATATATTATTTGTGATTGTTACTTGTTGTGTATGCCTAATAATAAATAAATAAATAAATTCTGTAGCCTATTGTTGATACCGTTGGATTGAGCTCGTGAAGCACTTTTAGGATCAGTTACGCCGCTATTGCTACTAAATTATTAATAATAACCGGTTATTTCACGGATTCATATCGGACGTAGTGCGAAACCGCTTTAAAAGGTGTTATTTTTCTAATTTGCTCTCAACTGATTATTATTAAACCTTCTATTCCAGTACTCGGTGAAGCTAGAGAAAGGCGAGTACGTGCTCCGTCTGAACGTGCGTCACGAGAGCCGCGCTCTGCTGGAGAAGCTCCAAGAACTGCCGGTGCTCATGCAGCAGAGGCTGGCGCAACCCATCACGCTGGACGTCTACTGCTCGCAGCACCAGGTACGGAATACGAGTACTATATATAATATCCTAACTAATATTATAAATGCGAAAGTAACTCTGTCTGTCTGTCTGTCTGTTACGCTTTCCCGCTTAAACCTCGCAACCGATTTTGATGAAATTTGGCACAGAGATAGTTTGAGTCCCGGGAAAGAACATAGGATAGTTTTTATCCCGGTTTTTGAAACAGGGACGCGCGCGATAAAGTTTTTCTGTGACAGACAAAATTCCACGCGGGCGAAGCCGCGGGCGGAAAGCTAGTAATATACTAATTTATTTATTTCTCTCACAACATAAATTATGAAAAACATTTCTTATAATATATCCGTTAAACTATAGATTGCATTGTGAGAGCTGGTGCCTATTGTAGATTTTAAGAAAATCTGTATTACAGGTCACCAGGCCCACTCTGCGGAATCTATTTTATTAAATACTTATACATTTAAATAATTAGAAGATTCCTAGAGGTACAGAGTGTTGAGTTCTATTGTTACAGTAAGCTGTACCAACCTCTGTGGTCTAGTGGTAAGACCACCTGCATCAGACGCAGAGGTCCCGGGTTCGATTCCCAGTGGGGGCAGATTTTTCTGTTCGGTTTGGTTGATGCTAGGGCTTGTTCTAAGTCCGCCTAGCTAGCTACCACCATCTTACCTAAGTCTGCAGTTAGAGGTAAGATAGCCAGTTCCTCCGTGGTTGAGGATTCCGGGTGAAGCTCGCTTCCACTTTCGGCCTGATCGTCACTTACCATCAGGCGAGATACAGCTTCCTCGTTGTGGATAAAAAAACCAAGAGTTTACATTACACGTCATCGCTGATGAATGAGTGCGTCAATCTGTGGGATGATGATGATCAACCACGTGCCGGACGTGTTCCGCGAATTTGCCGTGCGTTTGCAAAACCGCACACGGTAAATTGTATGACAACTGCTTCGGAATAAATAGACAATTACCAAGTTAGTGTGCAAACGCACGGCAAGCACGCGGCAAACGTCCGGCACGAAACGTCTAAATTGAAAGTGCCCTGAGGATGATAAGGTGGAATCGCTTCCTTCCGAGCGGGTGGTCAGAGATTAAGGTCCAATTTATTGACCATTTTCCGGTTTTCCACTTATCTCAGGACAGGGAACTGACACCGCAATACAGGTTTGTAGGCGCGGCGGTGTTGGCGTTTGCCATAGTATCGTATATATCTGCGCTATCTGTTACTGAAGTCTACGATTAGTCTGTCGATAGATGTCACCACAAATAATGAAGAATTCTAGTTCTTGAAATTACCCGCTACGGGCGCTGTACGATCTGTCATACATATCATGTAATTTTTTTACGCAGTCACTAACGAGCACACCTATGTATGTAAACTCTGGTATGCACTAAATTAGAGGTCTAAAGCCCGGTCTGTGAGCACGTAGAATTTTCTCCAATGACCCCAAGCTACCCATCCTTATCGCTCGCGCGTAATGAGGGCTATCGTTTTAGTGCTCACCAGTTAGCGCCACTGTAGAGTAAGGTCCTGTCACTTGCTAGTAGCGAAGACAGTGGCGCCAACTGGTGAGCGCTAAAGTGGTAGGAGGACTGTCGCATTTGCACTCATCAAGATGGCGCCACTGTAGAGTAAGGTCCTGTCAATCGCCAGGGGTGCCAACTGTTAAGTATAAAAACGATAGCCCTCATTATGTTGCTGTCGCGACTGTAGCTTGGGGTCATTGGACAAAATTTTACGTGCTCGCAGACCAGACTATAGCGCAAACTAAGTCAGTGCCTGGGGTAGGAGAGGCGACACGGGAGGTAGTTTTTGTCAAACGTCAGCGAAACTTCAGATGTGATTTAGACTTTTAATGCTCTCTTTCTCTCTCTCTTCTAATATTTTAGTTATGTCACCCATCTCGTGCCCTTCATATGCCTCAGTTATACGATAGATTTTGTATAGTCTGGTCGCCGAGCACGTAGAATTTTGTCCAATGACCCCAATCTACCTATCCTTATCGCTCGCGCGTAATTATATTGCTGTCGCGCTCGCACACTCACTGCTGCCGCCCGTCGCACAGTCGCGACAGCAATATAATTACGCGTGTGCGTCAGAATGGACGGCCACTACCCATATTTTTTAAAACACAATTACGCGCGAGTTATAAGGATAGGTAGCTTGGGGTCATTGGACAAAATTCTACGTGCTCGGCGACCAGACTTTAGTAAGAAACAAGAACTAAGAGTCTGTCTATAATCTCAATATGATATGAAATTAAATTGTAATTTTAAAATGTTCTTTTCAGGCAACGATAGGCGGCAAAAAGTTCAACTCGGCGTCACTAAACCACGAAAACATAATGCCCATATATTTCACCTCCATTCCTGCAGATAAGTAAGTATTTTTATCTACATTACTTTTTTTTTATAAATATGGCTACAAATATTGAACTTAAGTTAGCTTTAATATCTAATACTCATCAAATAGAGGTGGTTACTTTGCTAGCTTAATTTTGTAAATTTATTGACTAACTTGATCATCTTCTCTTCCTACTTTTCGGTCCATACATTTTGACCCGTATCCTTTAAGCATAGGTCCGTGTCACGTCAAATTGACTAACCCGTATTCCAAAGAGGAATTTATCACTCGATTATCTAAGAAGGGCTGTTGGTAAGAAAACTGGAGACGTTGTTGCTATAGTCCATTCAGCATAATGGTGATTTAGACAGATAAAACGTTTCGTTTGATGCACCCAACTTTCTACGAATAAAAATATTAAGTTGTAAAAATCATAACTTTTTTGTGTTTTCATCTTTCCAATATAACAATTAATAATCTTTCTCAATTAACCTAAACAAGAATTTCAAATAGTTACGAGTAAACTTTTTAAAAAATATTACATGAATTGCATAATGCGTTAATCGGAACTTTTGCTCATAGGGATGGACATGAACAATCGCAACCAATCAATAATCTGTATGGTGGTCATCTCCCCATCGAATCACAATTATTCTCTCAGGCAGGTCAAAGGTCAGTCAGTACGTGTGCGTTTGCCTTGTATGGCCGGTTGTGTTTTATGCGATTTCTCCACGAGTTGTTTGTTATTGTTATTTGTTGTTTTTATAGAATAAAATGCATAATATTTAATTCTTTGTGATTTATTGTGTACTAACGTTTATTCCATATCCAGATAATTAAAATTCGTAGATATAATTTTGGTCAAAATTAAAAATCAAACAAATAAAAAGTCGATTAGACTTCTTAAGAAAATATTCTCGATTCTAAAAAATATCGATTAGGTGTAAAAGAAGCGCCTCACTAAATAGAACTGTCATAATCACTTTCTTACGCTGAATGGACTATAGTATTTGTATTTTCACACGCAGTAGGTACAGTGTCTTTAATTGTAATAACCGCCGAGTGCGGACCGATTGATAAAAAGCAGCACGCACAGATGTAGCGCCATCTATGGTTCATTGTTTTTTTTAATGTATTTTCTGCCATATAGCAATCTGTTCGAAAACAATAAGCCACTTGTTTGGCTGGAGCTACATGTTCTGAGTTATGTTGTCTTCGAGAGCCAATCAATAAGGTTTTTTGCGATTGAAGGATCCGCCAGATGGCGATACGTGAACGCGGGGTCCAGATGCTGCGTGATTGGTTATTTTTGACATGACATTGACAGATATGTCAAAATCCACCAATCACGCAGCGGTCAGACCCCACGTCCGCGTCCCGCCATCTGGCGGATTTTTCAATCGCGAAAACCCTCATTGCTGAACTTTCCAACAAACTCTTCCTGACTCAGTCCACAAATCTTTGGGCGAGATTGGCAATGCCTTGTCTTTTCAGTCGATTGTAATTTGTACTGTAGTCCACCTTCTCCACAAGGCCTGTGCGAGTTTGTTTGCATGAGTTGCCAGTTTCTCCTGGTTGGTTCATTGTAAGAATTAGATTGTCCAGACTCCCGGTTCAGTAAGAAAGGAAGAAGATGGCTCTTTACAAACAGTTGAGAAAATAGAGTGCCCTCATAATAGGCTAGATACAAAATTTCAATTATTTGTCCGTCAGACAGATAAATCAGAAAATATTAGACTCATATTTTTTATTTTCTTTCATAATTAAATAATAACAGTGCTACATCGAGTTGAAATGGCGCGTTACGTCACGCTTGAGTAGAATTTTTACTCAAAAGTGATGTCACGCGACATTTTAAGTCAATATGAAACTAATTATTCGATTATAAAAAAAATTCAAAAATATGTGTCCAAAATTTTTTTATTATCTGTCTGACGGACTAAATAGAATTTCGATTTCATTACCCAGTCGTCATCCCTATTATTATTACTGACAGGATTGCTACCATGTACTATCGGCAACAGTGTCAACTGTCCATTGCCAGTCATGTCATATCGTTCTATCGCAAAGAATCGCCATTTCATTAGAGCGAGAGCAAAAACGGTAATGGATAGTTAACAATGTGGCCGTGTGTACCTTAATTTTGAGTCTCCGATATGAAAGTTTAAAACAATATATTGTTAACCGGTATACCTTCATATTGTATGTCCTCCAGAATTAGCCGGTCCAACCTGACGATAGGCCACTCGCTGACGGGCACCGTGACCTTCGTGAAGGACGAGCACGGCCGCAAGGTGGACACGTACGCGCTGCAGTACGTCGTGTGCGAACCGCCCAAGCGCCCGTCCCAGGCTAAGGACAAGGTAACACTTCGAATCTTCTTCTTCTTCTTCTTTTCAGCCAAATGACGTCCACTGCTGGACAAAGGCCTCCCCCAAGGTTTTCCACAATGAACGGTCCTGCGCTGCCCGCATCCAGGCTCTTCCCGCGACCTTTACCAGATCGTCGGTCCACCTAGTAGGAGGCCTGCCCACGCTACGTCTTCCAGCCCGTGTTCGCCACTCGAGAACTTTCCTGCCCCAACGGCCATCGTNAGACATAAAATCAGACAGTAAAGAGTCTTTACTTGAATCTTTATAAGCAGTGCCAGATGAGGGAAAGTTTATGTTGAAGTCTTTAGTAAGAGCATCATGAGAGGCCTTATCATATCCAGGACTAACTACTGGTGGAGATCTAGGCTTAAGAAATACTGTTTTTTTATATGAACTCCTGCTGGGAATATCGGATGAATTTATCAAAACTGGTCTATTTGTGTTTACTGGGGATGCAGTTGTCAAAACATCAGCATAGGACTTACCAAGAGGAGGGTGTAATTTCAAAGCCTCAGAATAAGATATACAATTCTTAGCCATTGTCTCTTTTATTTGCTTTTGGCGGGAAAACTCAGGACATTTTTTACTAGTCGCAAAGTGAGACCCCGTACACAGACAACATTTAACAAACTCTTCATCAACTGAACAGCTGTCACCCGAGTGGTCATGACCACATTTGAAACATTTGGGAAGAGATCTACACTGTGATTTAATGTGACCATATTTGCAGCATTTGTAACATTGTATAGTGGGGAAAATGTATAAGTCCACAGGCAGAGAATTGTAACACATAAATACTCTCTTTGGAAGTACCTGTCCATCAAATGTAAGAACTACAGTCTCTATGGGTATGTATTCAACAGTGNTACTGGTCGCAAAGTGAGACCCAGTACACAGACAACATTTGACAAACTCTTCATCAACTGAACAGCTGTCACCCGAGTGGTCATGACCACATTTAAAACATTTGGGAAGAGATCTACACTGTGATTTAATGTGACCATATTTGCAGCATTTGTAACATTGTATAGTGGGGAAAATGTATAAGTCCACGGGCAGGGAATTGTAACACATAAATACTCTCTTCGGAAGTACTTGTCCATCAAATGTAAGCACTACAGTCTCTATAGGTATGTATTGAACTGTGTCTTTTCCAATAGTTTTCCTTTTCAATCTCCTTACTTTAAGAATGTTGCCACAACCTATAGGGACTGTAATGTTCTGTATGACTTCCTCATCAGTCCAGCTGGTTGGAATTAGGGCATGAATATCGGAATCTCGGAATCTCGTAATATCGGAATCTCGGAAGACAAGATCCGATATTACAATTCCGATATTGAGCGACCCAATATCGTAATATCGGAATCAGATAAAGGTTTTAATTGAGACTTTCAANGTAACATTGGATGTTGGAATAAACGCTTTGTAGTGATTATTAGTCAAGACAGTGCTGCTTATGAATGTATTGGCATCCTCATAATTAGAAAAGGAAATAGCTGCACGATTTCTGCCTATGCGTTTTAAACTGCCATTTATTATGTTTTTAAAACCATGCTTTTTCAAAAACAAACCAAGAGAAACCGGGTGAATTGAAGTATTTTGATTGGAAGTTGTCTGTTCTTTTTGTATGTGTATGACATATGGAGAAACATCAGATGCCTGGTAAAGATTCCTACCAATTGGTACACGCTGAGAATTCGAATTATTGTTCTCAAACTCAACATCAAGTGAGTTTGGTGAGTTTGACACTGGCACAGAGTTTTTAGCAGTAGTATCATTGAAATTGTTTGGTTGTTGTTTTGGCTGAATTAGCGTGTCGGAATGAGATTCCGAGTGACATTCACATGAATCAAGCGAAGGAACTGTAGAGCTTTTATGNACTTCCTCATCAGTCCAGTTGGTTGGAATGCCCCTCACTACTCCCATGCGAGTAACATTTGATGTTGGAATAAATGCTTTATAGCGATTGTTGGACAAGACAGTACTACTTAAGAATGAATTGGCATCCTCATAATTACAAAAGGAAATAGCTGCACGATTTCTGCCAATACGTTTTAAACTGCCATTTATTATGTTTTTAAAACCATGTTTTTTCAAAAACAAACCAAGAGTAACCGGGTGAATTGAGGTACTTTGATTGGAAGTTATCTCTTCTTTTTGTATGTGTATGACATAAGGAGAAACATCAGATGCCTGGTAAAGATTTCTGCCAATTGGTAGCCGCTGAGAATTGGAATTATTGTTCTCAAAATCAACATCAAGTGAGTTTGGTGAGTTTGACACTGGCACAGAGTTTTTAGCAGTAGTATCATTGAATTTGTTTGGTTGTTGTTTTGACTGAATTATTACTTCGGAATGAGATTCCGAGTGACATTCACATGAGTCAAGTNAAAAGAAATAGCTGCACGATTTCTGCCTATACGTTTTAAACTGCCATTAATTATGTTTTTAAAACCATGCTTTTTCAAAAACAAACCAAGACTAACCGGGTGAATTGAAGTATTTTGATTGGAAGTTGTCTGTTCTTTTATTATGTGTATGACATAAGGAGAAACATCAGATGTCTGGTAAAGATTCCTACCAATTGGCAGACGCTGAGAATTCGAATTAATGTTCTCAAAATCAACATCAAGTGAGTTTGGTGAGTTTGACATTGGCACAGATTTTTCAGCAGTAGTATTATTGAATTTGTTCGAGTGCTGTTTTGGTTGAACTAGCATGTCGGAATGAGATTCCGAGTGACAGTCACATGTATCAAGTGAAGGAACTGTAGAACTTTTATGATGACGTCTCCTCTTTTTATTACAGTGTTTACACAATCTAGGTGCAGAGGCCCGTTTTAAACGTTTGGATTTATTTTGAGAATGTTCGGAGCCATCCGTGCATGAACTTTCAGTATCTAATGCTGAATAATTATTAGCTATAGTGACATTGTACGAAACCTGGGGGACGGATCCCCCAGGTTCGTCTGGGTCGTTCATGTAACCAGAGAAAGAGGTAAAAACTTACCAGAGCACTGCCAAAATCACTAATTAATAAATAAATAGAAAGATAAACATAAATATACTACACTCCACTACTTAACTGATCTCTATTTACTAGATAATTTATAAAAATCGCAAAAGCAAAAATTGAGACAACCGCCTAGCTTGACGTTTCCCGCGCTTTTCCCCAGCGGCAATGGCAGTGCAAAATTTTGACAATGACTGTAGTTATCATACTTCGAGTTTGTCCATGGAGACGGCAAAAGTCCTTTAGTTGGCCATAAAGTAAACTTAACGGAAAATGTTACTTAATTGATACCGAGGCGCAACCTGGAAGCATTGCTAAGTGTGCTCCTCGTTACTGGTTCATCGTTCGTCATCGTCATTGTTCGTAAAAACCGGGTCGCGGCAGGCAAATAATAAAATTAGTCTTATGTCTTCTCCGNACTGTATAGAGCCATTTCTTCCAATCCACGAGTAGAAAACGCCTTTGTAGTAATAAAAAGAGAAATGTGGCTGCAAGAGTAAATTAGAAGAAGATGTCGTGAGTGTATACGTTGCCGAGGCCATTTTGAACAAAATTTGTAATAATTAATAAACGATCAAAATAATTATTTTCGTCTTTAAATTCAAGAAATCCACATTGAAAAACGATTGGGAAAAGGTTTTTACAATGCATAAGATAAATATTTTTTACCTGTAGGTGTTAAACGTGCTATTCAAACATAAAGGGGCTATAAACACAAATTTCGCAAATCAGTCCGAGTAGAGTCAATGCACTAATTTAAGGACTTTGTGAAGTTGTTGTTATTGTTTAAACAAGATTAGTATACCGTTTGAATGAGGATAGACTAGAAAAGTTTTGGTAAAATCCTAAGATCGCTATCTCTTTTAAAAAAAAAATTATACCCATGTNCAATGTATGGAGAACGAACATTGTCCTTTTGTAAAACTTTCGTTAGAATTACTTCGAAATGGATTCTGGATGGATGAATACTGCAGAATTTTTGGATTATTTGAATTCTTCTGCTCTTATGGTAAAACCGCAAAAAGAAGTCTGCTGGAGTGATATTGGGGCTTCTTTGTGGCAACAAGATGTCAACCCTGCTTAATTGATGATTGGATTGAAAGGATGATGAATTTTTGAGACGCTATACTGGCATGCTGAAAAGTTTTTTGATTCCAAAGTTGCAAGAATCGCGAGACTATAACAGGAGCACTTGGTTCCTGCAAGATAGAGCTACGTGTCGCACTTCAAATGAAAGCATTTAGGTGGTAAGACAATATTACCATAAAAAATAATTTTACGCAGGGGTGACATCTCCGATCCGAAGCCCCGATCTCACTCCAGCAAACCTTTTTGTACTCTAATAAATCCATCAACTAACAACGAAGCTAAACATTCGGCAAGAAATGGAATCCATTTCGAGGTAACTTTAACGAAGGCAAGGAAATCACTTGGATGATGTAATTTAAAAAAAAATTAATTTTAAAATAAAGGATAGTGCCAGGGTCTGGACCAAGTGTTGCCCAGAATTAACCCATAGTGCATTTTGTTCCTCAGGCCTATACTAATGTGTAAACCGAAGCGCACTGAAGTCTATCCCTGGAGTTAAGAGAAAAAACGAGTTTTGTTTTGAATTATTTACATACATCATCGATGTATACGTACTACGCATAAGATTTCTCGATTATGGCATTAAATAACACTATATTTTAATGATCTGTGTTTAAGTTATATTGTGAGGAGGTCAAAGCGATATTAAAGCGACATAAGGAAATATATTCTCTTAGCGACCCGCTAGGAGGAAATATTTTGCGAATGATATGGATGGATTAGATAAGTAATTAGGGCATGAATATCGGAATCTCGGAATCTCGTAATATCGGAATCTCGGACTGCGAGATCCGACATTTCAATTCCGATATTGAGCGACCCAATATCGTAATATCGGAATCAGATAAAAGTTTTAATTGAGGTTTTAAACAAAGCGTTTAAACTCGCCACAACCTGCCACAAAGCCCAAAGTATATGATAGGCGAAGACCAATGATTTTCTCATGTCTCTCACCATCACTTCTTGTTCCACTGCAAATATTTTAATGAAAGATGTCTCAAAATGTCTTGAGTGTATACGTTGCCGAGGCCATTTTGAACAAAATTTGTAATAATTAATAAACGATCAAAATAATTATTTTCGACTTTAAATTCAAGAAATCCACATTGAAAAACGATTGGGAAAAGGTTTTTACATTGCATAAGATAAATATTTTTACCTGTAGGTGTTAAACGTGCTATTCAAACATAAAGGGGCTATAAACACAAATTTCGCAAATCAGTCCGAGTAGAGTCAATGCACTAATTTAAGGAATTTGTGAAGTTGTTGTTATTGTTTAAACAAGATTAGTATACCGTTTGAATGAGGATAGACTAGAGAAGTAAAATCTATCGGTAAAATCCTAAGATCGCTATCTCTTTTAAAAAAAACATTATACCCATGTAAACTTAAATGTTCAGTCCATTTTTAACTTTTCGGAAAACTTCAAAGCTGAATTTAAAAAAAACTAGATGATATTTGCCAGTAAATTTAGATTTGATGCAACCCTACATTAATGCACGTCAAAACAAAATATTTACATTAGGGCTGCGCCTAGTAGTTTTTTTTTTAAATCGAAATTAAATGATGCGATTTGGGTATTTTGGTGAAATTACTAAAAAAATTAATTTAAAAGTAGCCGCCTGGCATGGAACGTGTTATGGGGGCTGAAAATATAGGAAATTACCCATTCTATCCGCCAAATCATTTTGGCACACGATGCGCCAAACACCCTGTATATATCATCACTGGTCTGGTAACACACACTAATTGAAGACTTTCGTCTTCGTATTCGACGATTTACCTCTTTCTCGAAATTGCATCTAACTACATAGCCGATCGTTAGT